GGGGAGGGAAAGACATACTGTGCAGGTGGTTCGCCCGCCCGACGTAGTGGCCAGGCACAACAGTGACAAAGCTGGCCACGCCCTTGCCGTTGGTTGCCTGAATGCCGCGGAGGGCCGAGTTTTTGATCTCCTCGGGCGCTGCAACCCCATTGCCATTGCCTTTGGAGACGACGCCGGTGTAGACGCCCTGCGAGAAGGTTCAAGGCTCGCGGGTTAGTAGTCATGACGCTTTCGCCCTCCAGATCGGCTTCCGAGAACTAACCGTGGAATTGCACCCCCAGAGCTCGACGTAGACGTCTGGGATTGGCTTGCAGGTCGAGACGTCGATGACGTTGACGTCAAGGTGAAGGACGACGCCCGGCGCCTTCTCGCGGATATCCTCGCGGATCAGCTCGCCTTGGACCCCTGCGCAAAGCCCGGACCCGTTTGTTTAATCGCAAGCTCGGACGGTTCGAGTCCTCTCCCACCACCTTGGAACACCCAAAGAAAGACACCTACAGAACGGGCCCTCGGTCACCTCTGGGTCGAGGACGCATCCGGCCCTCGCCTGCCGCTTGTCGAGCACGGGGCCGGACGGGTTCGCCAGGCCGAGGTCGCGACGGATGTTGCCGATCTTCTCCATGCGCCGGGAGAGCTCGCCCTCAAAGTGGCCGCTCTCCTCGAGGCTGCGCCGGCACGAGCCCATGGTCCGCCGCTGCGGGTTGTTGAGATGCTCCTCCCGCGCCCGGAACTCGGCCCGGACGTCGCCGCCGGGGTGCGCGAGGGCCGTCGCGGCAAGCCCCGCCAGGCCGAGATACGCCGCCCACTGGACCATGGTGTTAGGGGAAAGTGGTGTAGGGGGTGGATGGGTCGGGTTACTTCAAGCTACATATGTTAACCATGAAGGCCTCGACTTGGGTAGAGAGTGTACGGACAGCGAGGTGGAAGGGAGTGTGTAACGCAGCCTTTTAACGGCAATCTGTAGTGCAGTACCCGCCGACAGATGACGTTTCCGCCACGGGTAGCTGTTGCCATCTCCTCCTGTCGCCCGCCAACATCTTCCCGGACTCCATCGCCGTCCCGCCGACACCCCTCCTCGTCGCGGAGCATCCCACCTGGGTCCTCACCCAGCATCGAACCACTCACCGCCCGAGGGGCTGACGTATGCTTCGGCACATGCCAAAGGGGCGTCGAGTCCGCACTCTAGTGGCCGCGGCGCCTCCGCATCCGGGCGACGCTTTTAGGGGTGGTTGGAGCCCCCCTGACTGAGCTCCCGATCGAGGGGGACGGGCCTGGGCCATGCTCTTGGGCAGGACTGGAGGCCAAGACGTCAAATTTGAGTAGAGATGGGGTTTCACTGAGATGTCGATATTGCCGTTACGTCGCCCTCATTTGCGCGCTCCCGTCGCCCTGACTGCCGGGGAAATTTATCCGACCTCTCACACAGCGCGCATTGGCAACCAAGGATTCCCCCCGCCCTGCGGCAGCATTGGACGCGGTCGCAATGCCGATACATAAGCCTACTCAGTTGGTCGCTGTCACCCCATATCAGGAAGGTATCCTTCCCTGGCCAGGATCCTGGCACTGCATCGCAGCGTTACCTCTGGGCATGATATCCCGGATGGAGATTATTTGTGCCAAGGGTTGAGCTGATGGTTGGCCAAGGTGGGGGATTCTGCTTGGCTGCTGTGCCAATGTCGCACTCAGAATGAAGTCGCGGCTGGACTTCGGGATTTTGGGATGGAGGCAAGGGACAGGAACCTCCCGCTCCTTGGCCCAGGTCAGGGCCTCCGTTTCGATCGTCGCATCCACCGTCAGTTTTGCGGTCATGCCACCAGGATTGGGACCAGCTCCCGCCTGCGCCTGCAGTTAGCCTTCCCAGCCTCGATTGGATGACTTTGATAAAAGCATCAATTCTAGGGCCACGCTGAGCAGGCGGGGCATTAGGGACCCGTGGATCTCGACCAGCAAGTCCAAGAGGGTCTGCATCTCGGGCTCCAGGTCGCCACCCGGCCTGAACTGCTACGTTTACACCATTGACACCACGGCCAACCGCTTGGAAATGGTGGACGCTAAGGAGGCGTTCCAGAGCACCAATGGCAAGGACGGGAAGCCACTGGAGTATCCCAAGCCGGGCGGGAAGGAGGTCTCGGTCAAGAACAAGATCCCCTGGACCAGCATGTCAAGTGGGACATCCGCAGTGGCCACAAGCACAAGGGGACAGTTACGCGGGCCGAGTTTGAGAGGCCCAAGACCCCACCCGCCACTGGCGCCTAAGGCTGGCGAAAACCCACAAACGGGTCCCCGTTTGGACCCGTGGGTTTTGGGTCCGGCTTGGACCCAAAAACCCAATTAAGGACCCGTGCGTAAAAAATATTTATTATAATTATTTGTAAAAGTAAAAAATTTAAAGGTAATAACAAAGGTAATAACGCTTTAAACCCAGTTTTTTCGCTTGGACCCAAAAATTACCCAAAACCCAAAAGACCCAACCCAAAAATTACCCAAATTTTGGACCCATTACCCAGATGGACCCAAACCCAATGACCCAATACCTAAACGGGTCCTTGGGTTTCCGCCAGCCTTACCGGCGCCTCCAACAAACGCCCGGCTTCGCAGTCGCCCAAGGGATCCTCGCCCGAGAAGAACAACAAGCACTCCGTCCGCGTCCACCGCGCTTTCACGGGTTAGAGTACAGATTGTTGTTACTGGTTATGACATTAATAACGGCGGCCAGCTTGGCTTGCCTTGAGGTGTTCGGGTTATTTGATTTTTACGGCAATGTTTCTCGTCTTCTTTTTTCGGTTGTTTAACAGGCCCTCTCATGTCGACGAAATTCATCAGTTGCCTGGTACTCTTGCTCGACGATGTCATACGAAGGCGGTAAGCAGGAGAAGGTAGGAGATTATTTGGGTGGGAAAATTTGCCAATAGTAATTATCATAACATATCGGTTACTTACTGACGGCTTACCTGCAAACGTGGAAGAATTCATGGTTATCATCTGGAGCGATGTGCTCAACACTACATTGGCTGAAAACCGGTGGGGAAAGACACCCGAAGTAGCAACACAATTCGTCAACTAATACCGACTTTCGTTTTTACAACCTGAGTATGCCTCATCCAGCTTCCTGCGATTTCTCCAGAACTCCGTGGCCCACGTGTATTGCGGCAGTGCTTCGAACTCGCAGCCGAGGTGGCCTCTGAATAGCATAATGGCATCCTTCTTGGCCTGCTCTTCAGGGACATGGTGATGGGAGAATTCCGTGTCCCAAGTGAAGCTGGTGGTCTTCGTGCCGGTGCCTGGCTGCTGGCTGTGGACTAGGTGGAGGACGAAGCACGTGTCATAAATGGCACCAAAGGTCCGGATGATGTGCATGGACCAGCCGCCCTTGTCGTCCGGGTCCTCGAGCAGCAGGTCCCACTTGTCGTCCATGCTCCTCGACCTGAACCCGACCCTGAGCCTCTCCACGTCGGCGGCGCTGACGGGCACTTCCCATGGCACGGTGAGGGCCTCCTGCATGGGGTGCATCCGGTATCTGGTGCGCTCGACGATGGGCCTAAAGAACTCCTCCACCGACATCTCCGACAGCTGGGCCGGCATTTCCGGGCTCTCGCAGTCCGACCCGTCGTGGGAGGGTGAGGGGATTTCGACGTCGGAGTAGTTGTCGTTCTCGGCATTATCAGGCGGGGGCGCCATTCCGGCCGGCTCCTCGGACCGCGGGTTGCTGTGTGACGCCATCTCTGCCACCTTGTCGTCTGAGAGTGCGACTTGGGTGGATGGTTGCGAAATGGCGGGAGGTGAAAGGCTGCGAAAAGAAGCAGAATTACTGCATTGAGATCAAGCTCGTGGGGTGAAGAGGTGCTGCAGTCCTTTACACGTTGGAAGCCGTGAGGCTGCGCCACAGCTACCGTCCGTAATTAGCACTAGGCATGCACCTAGGCGACGCTTGCTGCGCCACTGCACACCAGCCCGATTTGAGGTAATCCTTCAAAAATGCAGCGGAGCCCGTGCCCCCACAAGGAGCCTTACTGCAATAATTTCAATGCTTCGAGACGAGGCCTATTCGATTTCCAGCAGCACAAAAATCGTTTCCCGAAGAGATATGGCTAGCGCAACGATGACGATAGCCGAATTTATTCCCGCCAGCAGGACCGACATCGGGGCCGCGGACAGAATCGGTCTGGACAGGCCTGCTCAAAGTGGCACTCACAGCATAACGAGGGCACTGGATTTGGCATTTAGTGTATGTGCATTTGTTGGTTGCTACTGATATCTATTGTTCCGTGTTGGCGCGACTCCTAAGATCCAAAAACAACAAAAAAGAATATGCTCGACGATGGCCGAAAGGTGTGGAAGGAAGAGGCAAAGTAGCGGTCCCAGGACGTATTACGAGATCAAATCAGCTCAAGCTTGAGCTTCCCACGCCCACGGTCCACGCAGGCCTGCAGCGCGTGCCCCTTGTCCTTGTCCAGGAGCGCGTTGCTCTTGTACTCGACCTCACCCTGGCACACCCTGACCTTGCACGCGCCGCAGCCGCCGGCCTTGCACGAGAAGGCGATCTCGAAGCCCGCCTCGTTGAGCACCTCGAGCAGGGTCCTGTTGGACGGCACGGCCAGGTCCGCGCGCCGGTTCAAGTCCGGGTCCTCGACCTCCACCTCAAACGACTCGCCGAGGCCGCCCCCCGCGCCGCCGCCGCCGCCAAAGTCCTCAAAGTGCACCATGTGCTCCGGGTAGCCGAGCGCCGAAGTAACGCGCGCGCACTCGGCCATCAGGCCCGCCGGCCCGCACGAGAAGATGCGGGCGGCCGGAGGAGCGTCGGGGCCGCTGCCGTCGAGCTTCGGGATGACCTTGGCCAGCTCGAGGCGCTCGCCCCGGGACGAGGCGTACAAGGTCGTCTTGCCCGCGGGCAGCCGGTCCAGGAACGCGGCCTCCTCCGGGCTCCTGACGGCGTAGTGGACGTGGTACGGCAGGCCCTTGTCCTCCCAGAGCCTGATGGAGGGCAGGAACGCCGTGATGCCGATGCCGCCGACGACGAGGACGCGGGGCGCGGACTCGTCGCACCGGGAGTCGTTCTCGACCGCGCGCGGGTTCCCGCCCGGCGCCATCCCGCTCTCGTCGCCCACCTTGAGCGAGCGGTGGATGTACGCCGACCCGCCCCGCGATTGGCGGTCGAGGGCGACGCCGAGGGTGAAGCGCGACAGGTCGCCGTCGACGACGGAGTAGGACCGCGAGATGGGGGCCGACTCCGGGCCGAAGCTGATCTGCGCAAAGGCATAAGGGTCGAACTGCATATTGGCGAACTCGCCCCCGCCCTGCAGCTCGAACGTGAGCTGCCTGACGCGCGGCGTGACGAGCCGGGCGTCGACCAGCCTGTACTTCTTGGGGCCCTCGCGCAGCCGGTTCGTGGCGAGCCCCACGAACGCGTCCGTTAGGGGCAGCCCCGTGCACTCGGCCAGGAGGTCAAAGGGCGCGTTGCGGGCCTTGATGACGCGCTGCACGTTCGGGACGGACCAGCGCGGGTGTGGGCGGCTGACCAGAGAGATGGCGTCGCCCTTGCAGACGTAGCCCGTCTGCTTCACGCGGTAGTTCCACCCCACACGCGCCGTCTTGATGGTGCGGCCTAGGGCGCGCTCCCACTTGAAGCGCGCGTTGATCCTGTGGCACGGGTGCCGCGGCTCGCTGACCTCGAGTTGGACGTCGGCGCCGACCTGGAACACGTCGCCGATGCAGACATTGTGCTCGCTCAGGACTGTCGTGATCAGGTTCTCGCCGTACGCCCCTGGCGCGTACAGCTCCGGCTCCGGGCACCTCTCGGCGCGCCAGCTGGGGTAGTGCTCCGGGTCGTACTGGTGGACGGCGCGCTCGAGCCCGCCGTGCTCCCTGTACACGTGCTCGTCGCCGGTGAAGCCAGTCTTGGTGCAGAAGACGGGCCCGTCCTGTTCCTGCTTGTAAATGGCGGACGTGATCTCCCCCGAGAGGGCGCGTTCTTTGACCCGGCCCACCCGTACCTGCAGCACAACCCCCGGCGCGGGCCAGGGTGCTTCATCCAGCTCCGTCACGGTCTCCTTGAGGATATTCCGGGTCGAGGCCATTGCTGCAGTAGAATGAGCAAGCGGACTGGGGCTTTTTTCGGACGTGGGGATTCTTAGGTCCGAGGTCTTTATCTTGATGGGCTTAATAGGTCCCGCGCTGGTGGATTAGTCGACAGAACCTGTGGATCGCCCGCCGGCTAGGAGCTCCCGGTCCGATCGGTCTGGGGGGTACCTAGGTAGATGCTTGGTAGGTGGTGCGTAGCACTTGGCTGTCCGCATCAGGGGCTGGCGCTTATACCGCAATCTTTATATGAATGGTGCCGCCAACAAGGACAATAGGCAACTAAGATAAAGGCGCCCATTTGGACACCCATTCCTTCCTAGCTCCTCACCTTTGTCTTCCCCTCATCGATGGGCACCGGCATGACTAAGACATGGCGTCGTGCCGCTATGCCCTGGGAGTCATACCAAAAAGGCTCGCCGACGTTGCGGGAAAAAGTCTCTCGGCACAGGCGAGTATACGCATGGCCCGCGAATTTATATCGTCTGTACCGGACATGCGATTCTTCATGTCTTCTATCCTGTCGCCCTATTGTGCTAACAAGCGATCGGCTTCCATGGCGAGCCCTCATGAAGGCCGGTCTTATTCCTTCGCCAGATGACAGTGAGGGTCTGGGGAGTCAGGCCAAGGTCTCGGCTGACCTAGCGGATATCCCGGGGAACAGGGTGGGGAAGCTTACGCTTGAAGAGCATGACCCGATAACGCTATCCGACCCGCGGCATCTTCCCCGCGGTGTCGACTAGCGAGCGGCCCGAGGGTGGATATACATTCGCTGAAAGGCACCGTGAAGATCGAGCCAAGTCGGTTTCTGCGAATTACCCGCGACAGCATGAGAGGCTACCGTACCAGACGACAGGGCATGCAATGGAGATCGGGCGCGTCATGCCCCACCGCCCGAGTCGTTGTCATCTGCCCCTCGTCAAACCCTGCCCTCATTGCGGGCGATTGCGCCTGGTGGTGGACTCGAGGGCACGACAGGGACCAGGACCGCTGGCTCGGATGCGGAAATCAGGGTTGAAAGAGCACAAGGGAAAAAAATGTGGAGCGAGAGGGCTTCTTTTTGTATTCACACAATAAAGCATTTACCTAGTAGACCAACCCTCGCAGCTGGAGCAGTTCATGGCAAACAAGAGTCTGTCATCGTCATTTCTACCTTCCAAATTGATCCCGACAGCCCGCTGCCTGTCGACGGCCACCTCTCGATCAGGGCTCGACATATTCGTAGCACAGATAATCTCCCTGGATGTTCAGCACGTCCGCGATTGTCTTGTTGGGGGAATTACCAAACATGTTGAGCACATGGCCAAGCGTCGTCTCGGTGCCCGGGTCGCCGTCGGCGCCGGTGGGAGCTCTAACGGCAACGAAGCAGGACGTGTCAGCAGGTGCTCGTCCAAGCCATAGAAACACAGACAAGAGATACTTACGGCATGCCCGGCGGCCGGATGTTGAACCCGTTGGCCCGCTCGACGCCGATATTGCCGCCGCTGATGGTCGAGGTCCGCACGGCCCGATTCTGCTTTTGCCAGTCCCAGTACAGCTTGTCGAGCCAGGTGTGGTGCAGGTAGAAGAGCGGGTCGCCGGGGCTGGAGATGGGGTTGAGCATTTGGCGGCCGACGCCGCCGTGGCCGCCGCCGTGCGGCTGGCCCTCGATGCAGTTCCAGGCGCGGTTCCACGACTCCTGGCGCAGGCAGTTGTCGACGCTCGCCTGCGAGGATCCTAGGCTCATGAAGTCGTTGATGGCCCGGTCGATGCAGTGGTTCGTCACCTGGTAGCCGGGGCCGAGCGAGTTGGTGTAGTTGGCAAAGGGCCCGTCCGTGATACAGCCGTCGCTGCGCCGCCCGTTGCCGCCGAAGCCGTGCACCGGGTCGAAGACGACCGATTTGGCGAAGCGGCCCGCGTCCAGCTGCTCTTGCCAGTACCTGGTCTCGCGTTGCGCCGTCAGCGTAGGACAGAGGTCATGCGGCCTATCGCGTCGTTTGTGGACTCACGGCTGGTATCCCTTGTACCCACACTCGTCTCGCAGAGCAGTCTCGTGGGCGAGCATCATGAGGCGATGGAAGGGGAGAAAGGCTCCCTGTATGGTGATGCTTAGTCGCGTTTGGTTTATTGGATGCTGCCACTGTCCTAGCGGGCCATACGAACCACAAAGTGCGTCGCCCACGCTTGAAGCTGATGGATCGCTTGGAGCTCGTCGAACCGGGTCTTGGCGCCAGGAAGCCCGAGCCGCGCCGGCTTCTTCATCAGACACAGCTCCGCATTGATGTATTCGAGCTTTGTCTCGTTGCTCAGCTTGTGCCTGCCGATGTGGATTCCCAACGCTGTCAGTGTGCCAACTTCCACGTCCCGGACTCGCCATAGCCCATCGTAAGACCAACGTCATCCGCGCCAGACTCACCACGCAAAGCGCTGTGCCGGCTTGGTACACGGTGCGCCAGCCGCAAGGGCCGACAGCCCCGCGAGGGCAACAAGGAGACCACGGAGGGGAGTCATTGGGAAGATGACGGAAGGATTACGGCCTGGCGAAGAGGGACACGAGAGACGTGTTGGAGCACACAATCCATGGCATACGTTTACGCAGAACAGCCCCAACTATATAACTAACATACAGACCACGGCGCCGGCTGTGGGCTCGCCCTAGCGATGGAGTATGGCGAAGTGTAGACGCATGTCGACGAGAACGCGTCAGTCGGCGGGGCTGGCCTCGTGTGCTCGCGTCCGGGCCCGGATAGTGCAACCTATAAAACAGCGGCCGTTGGTCATCAATTATTGCGGTTTAATTGCCACCGGGATGGACAGGAAACGGCGGGCTGCATTGAGGGGGCAGAGGGTCCCGGAGACGGGTGGCTGGTCGCATTGAGGCGCCGGTACACGTACGCATGCGAGTAACGACGGCAGCACACTGAAGCTTGGCAATAAGCGCCAGCTCCCGGTTTACTTCTTGCAACAGCCGTGCGGCTACCCAAGGTAGGCACGCCCATCACAAAAAAGACAGCGGTCTTACAGGAGGTCCCAAAGATTTAGTGAAATTGTTCATGCCATAAGCGTTCCTATTTTTTTCCCTGTTATTATTGCTATGGTTATTCCTATGGTTATTCGTGTTTTTATTCATGTTCCTATTCCTCGAGGGAGCTGTCATTTCTTTCCCGGTGGGCGTGGTAGGCTACGACCAATAAGTCCTACGCCCACCCTTCGTTCTAGATCGGTGCGTATTGGAAACTGCCGCAGATCGCTGCCACACCTGGGCCCGAGGAGCGGGTGCAGCAAAAGGTAGTTTAAATATCGCCCCGAAGTAGAGCGGGAGCCTCCGCATTGTGCGGGGAGGCTGCGCGGCAGTCTGCTTGTCCCGCCTATTTAGCCAAAGTGTACTTATAGCCTACCTGCAGGTGTTTGCCGAGCATAGCAGCGAGGAAAGGGGGTTGCCTCCGGGAAGAAGCTCGGCATGCAAGTAGACCCGAGCGCGAGATACTTGGGGAGAAACGGGACGGAACTTGACAGGAAATGATGAGAGTGTGGTTGGGCGTCAGGTGATCCAAAGAGCAGTGGCCAGGATTTAAGAAACCGATTCTCTTTGTCAATAGGAGTAAGAATGGCACATCGCGAGAGAAACGACTGATGGAAAACAAGCATAAAAAACAAGAAAGAAAACACCAAAACGCCCTACCATGCCGCAAGACGTACGCACACACTCTTGGTACTGTGAGCCCCCGAATCTCGATCTGTAAACCTTGGTTAGTAGCCCGCCAGGCTGGGAGTGATACTGCCATTAAACGGGATAGCGAAACTGTTGCCCCTGGAGCTGGCATCCCGCCTGTCGATTCTTTAGGCCCAATTCCGCTTCTGCTCCTGTTGTTGCTGCCGTTGCTGAGCCTGCCAGTCCTGCCCCTTCTGCTGCCATTGCTGATTGGGGTTAGTCGGCTGCTGCTGGCCTTGGTTGGGCTGCTGCTGGCCGTAGTTGGGCTGCCCGCGATAAGACCCCTCGAGGTAGTAGTTGTGCGCGTTGATTGCCGGCGACGACCCGGCGTTGATGTTGTTGGTGTTGGTGGCCTGCGAGTTGGAGTTTCCGCCGCTGCCTCCTTGGCCACCCTGGGCCTGACCGCCCTTGCCGCCCTCGGAGTTGGAGCTGATGGGACCGATGCTGTTGTTGCCGCCCGAGTTATTGCCGCCCGAGTTGTTGCCGCCAGAGACGTCGGTGTTCTCGCCCTTCATGTCCTGGTTCCCCCCCGTGTTCTGACCCGAGTTTTTGGTGTCCTGGTTGCCACCCATGTTCTGCCCGGTGTTCTTGCCACTGTTTTTGCCCGGATGGTCGAGTACATGCTGGTTGCTGTCTGGATGTGGGCGGCTTGAGGTATTGAGAGATCGATCTGGGCTGTGCCGAGTGGTCGCAGCCATGACTGCAGCCGCCTGAGGGAGGTCCCATGCAGGCGCGTAGTCGCGGCTTCCCCAACGGGAAGGCAGGATAAATGACATTGAAAGGCTGTGTCACGCAACAGTCAATGTCAGCCAAGAGCGCGCATACAAGCTGTAATCATGACCTGACTGGGAAGGGAGCTTTACTCGGGGATGACAGTGTTTGTAAGTGCGTAAGGGTGTTGGTTGTAACCAAGGATCCCAGGCTGTTGACGTCTGTAGATGAGTTTGGCTGGTCCCATTAACGTTGCTGACAGCATCGAGTTGAGCCAGGCTGTTCGTGTTCGTGCTCTTCCATGTCTTGCAATAATTTTCTCCGACTCGTGGACAAAGTGGCCCAGGGTTCTAGACACCTGCGGAAGGTCGGCACATGGGCAAACGTTGTAATTGCTTATGGTTTCTATTTCTATGTCTATCGCTCAAAATGAATGCAAACGCTCTGATCTAAGCCTTGAGGAAGTTCTCAATGGCCTGGGTAAAGCCGGCCGGGTCTTGCAGCGGCGCAAAGTGGCTAACGCCCTTGAGCGTCACCAGCTTGCTGCCCTTGATGGACTGGCTCAGGCGCTTCGCGACGCCGAGCGCCACGGCCTCCTCGTGCTCGGCCTCGGCGACCGTCACCTTCTTGCCGTCGATCTTGGCGAGCACGTCGGGCCCGAACTGCGGCAGCGACGCCTCCATGACGCTGACCTTTGTGGCGAAGGACGTGAAGCTGGCCTTGGGCTGCAGCGCCGCGTACTCCTTGCCGGAGCGGGCCACGAACTCGGAGAAGACGGCGGTGCTGCTGAAGGTGGCGTTGGTGTCCGAGGGCAGGGCCGTGGCGCCGAACAGGAAGGCCTTCTCGATGCTGGGCGCGATCTTGGGGTTCAGCAGCGCCGCCATGGTGGTGATGCCGCCGTCCGACCAGCCGACCATGACGCTCTTGGTCACGCCCGCCTGCTTGAGCAGCGCGTCCGTGTCCTGGGCGAACATGTCAAAGGTGAACTTGTCGTCGGCCCCAAAGGTGCTGCGGCCGTGGCCGCGGCGGTCGAGGGCGATGACGTAGTGGCCGTTGGCGACGAGGCGCTTGATGACGTCGCCAAAGTAGGCGCTGTACCCGAGGCCGCCGTGGTCCATGACGATGGGGGTGACGCCGGCCTTTTCGTTGTACTTTTGCATCCACAGGTCGACGCCGTTGATCTTGGTCGTCGCCGTCGAGATGGGCGCCGGCAGCTCGGGCGTCGGCGGCAGGGTCAGCCACACGGGCTTGGCCGCCTGGCGCGGGATCGAGGCGCCCTGGACGGCCATGGCCGAGGCCGCAGCGAGGGCGAGTGTGAAGAAGGAAACCATGTTGGCGGGTTGGTTTTGCTGGTCTTGAATGAAGGTCTTGAATGAAGGACTGTGTGGCTCGCAAGAACGGACAGTAAGGAAAGGAAAAGAGAGTGCGGAAGCAGGAGGCCAAGCGGCAAATGAAGGAATGCTCTCGCGGATCTGGCGATGGGGGAAAAGACCAACTCCAAGCCTCGACAACGGCGAACAAGTCGTCTTTTTATCGACGGCACGGTGAGGCGACATGGTACCATCTCGCTCCCCTGACCTGACTCTGTCATGGCCAGGGTGAAGCCTGTAGCTCCGGCCATGACCGCCGTCTGTCATGTTCGCCTGCTAAGCCCCGCCAAGGGCAGGGAGCCAGGGCCAATTTGACTTTGCGCGTCAGGGTTCAAGCCACGCACCAACTGAGAAAAAAGTTCGAACCGCAAAAAAGGGGCTCCCATATCAAAGTCGATTAACACCACCAAAAAAAAGCAATAACTGTAACTATATCCAAATTAATGGGCAGTTATTTTGCCTTCGCTTTTTATTATTGGCGAAAAAATCCGTGCTGTTTTGAGCGTATTATGATGCTTTGGCATGTTGTAATTGAATTTGATTGAGTTTGTTTTGATCTTTTTTTGCGTTAGAGTTTGGGTGGGGAAAAGCATTTTGCGGTTCGGAATTTTTTTTTTCAGTTGGTGCCACGGACGGCAGAGCCGAGAGGTCAGGAACTGGCCCAATGGGAGAGGCGCACGCCCAACTCCCCCGCATTCAGTGCCAGGTCCCTGGCGGCCACGCCTGGCCCCAGCCACTCACACCCAAAATAGGTAAAACTCTCCCTTTCTGTGCCTGTCGGATCGGCGCCTGCCGACCTGCCTAATTCCGACCGAAGTGCCGACCCTGTCTGATGCAAGCCGACGATCCTCAGCCGCCATTATGTCGAGCTGCGGGTCTGCTTCTGGCCATGGACAGCCATGGACACAAGGGCCGTGACGCCAGGTTCGAAAAGGCAGCGGCGGACGCAAACTACCAACAAATCAACGTCTCGTGGCGACGCGACAACACCCCTCGAACCCGGAGGTTATCAGATGACAGCCGCGTGCCTGCATGTTTTACTCTCCGCACCTTGGCTCTTCACATGGCCCAACGTTGCAGCCGCGGGGGGCGAGACAAGACACGACCGCTGCAGACCGTCCACATACACGAGGGCTACACCCCCTCACGCGAGCCGGAGCCGGTTCGGCAACCTGGTCGCCCAGCAGACGACCCGCTGCCGATCACCTCGCCTTGGCCTCCAGTCTTCTCCGGTCCAGGCAGGTGGTATGCCCTCCTACCCCGCCGACCGGGGGGGTCGCCAGTCGGCCCTGTTTTCTCCAATTCCAGAACCGCCTGTCCAGTCGCACCGCCGCCGCAACCACCCTTTATGGTCTTCATATAAGTGTTGGCGTCACGCGGCGGTTGGGCCATGGTTTGCTCGACGCGGATTGGCCCACGGGCCGGGGAGAGGGCACGTCTTGTCGACGGCGCGACGCACCACGCGACCGTGAGTAACAGCAACCCATGTAACGTGGGGGAGGGGAAAAAAGCAAAACAAAAAAAAACCCGCCCGACACTACGACACGACTCGGACGCTGTCTCCTGCCTATTCACTTGTCGGCTCGATGACGTCGGGTATGGTCGTCCACGGGGCGGTAACGGGCTTGCCCGCCGCGGGGTCGCGACCATGCGGGAGACTGTCGAGATTGGAGGGGAGGGGTCCGATATAAACACGAGACGAAGCCGCTCCATTCACTGCCCGCGACTGGACTGAGGGAGCAGAGTCAGGGATGAGGTTTGAGCTGGCCCTTGGAGCAGCGCGGCACCCTGCATTCCCGTCTTCCTGTCAGTCGAAGCCAGTTCAAGGCAAGCGAACGAGCTCGTGTTGCTTGGTCCCTTGACTCGGCGATATCACACAAATACACGCGCAACCCTCAAGGGGACAACTTCGCATTTCCGTCACAGCCCCTCTCGTCCTCTCTTTTCGTCCTTCTCTCTCCTAGGGCTTGCAGAGGAGAAAGTCGAAGATGAAGATCTGGGCCATAGCGTCGTGGGCGGCTCGGGCCGCAGGCGTGCTGGGCGCCTTGAACATCCGCGGCCCATCAGACCCCGCCGCGAAGAGGCAATTGCAAGATCTTGTGAGCCAACCCGCTTTGAACATGCTCCGCGAGCGTCCCCTCCGCCTCTGCTAACACACACGGCCACGCGCCGCAGGTTACCTGGGACGACCGGTCCATCTTCGTCCGCGGCGAGCGCGTCATGGTCTTCGCGGGCGAGTTCCACCCCTTCCGGCTGCCGGTGCCGTCGCTCTGGCTCGACGCCATGCAGAAGATCCGGGCCCTGGGCATGAACGCCGTCTCCATCTACATCGACTGGGCCCTGCTCGAGGGCACGCAAGGCCGGTACCGGGCCGACGGCGTCTTCGCCCTCGAGCCCTTCTTCGAGGCCGCGTCCGAGGCGGGCCTGTACGTCATCGCGCGACCGGGCCCTTACATTAACGCTGAGGTCTCGGGCGGCGGCTTCCCGGGCTGGCTCACCAGGATCAACGGGACGCTCCGGACCAAGGACAGGGCCTACCTCGAGGCTAGTGATATGTACGTTTGCTGGTATTGACCTGGGGAGCAAGCACAAGTCCACGAGCGGTGTTTACTGACAGCCACGCTCCTTCGTCGCAGCTACATGGCCAACATCTGCAAGGCAATCGCCAAGGCGCAGATCACCAACGGCGGGCCTGTCATCCTCTTCCAGCCCGAGAACGAGTACTCCAGCACCACGGGCAGGACCAAGCCGTTCCCCGACGGCGATTACGTGCAGTACATCATCGACCAAGCCAGAGCCGCCGGTGTCGTTGTCCCAATGATCAACAACGACGTTGGAGCTTACGGAAACTTGAAGCCCAACAACGGACCTGGCTCGCCGGATATTTATGGCCACGATGCCTACTTGTATGTGCACCGGGCGTATTGTCGCGCCCTTGGCCAACATTATTGACTTTCACTGACACCGATGCCAAAATAGCTGGGGACCAGATGATTGCGTGCGTGACAACAGCCTTCTTGGTCACACCCCCGGTCGTGTCTTGAACTAGAGTGCTGACATGTTACACGACAGGAACGGCCAGACGCCTGGCGCAATGCCGACTTTAGCTGGGGAGCCAAGCACAAGGACATAAGCCCAAAGACCCCACATTCGCTCGTCGAGTTCCAGGGCGGGTCGTGGATGTCTTGGGGAGGGCCGGGGTACGACAAGTGCGCGCACCTGATGGGTCCGGAGTTTATGAGCATCTTCTACAAGACGACCTTTGGCATGGGCGTCAAGCTGCTGGGGTCGTACATGGTCGGTTTTTTTCTCTTTCTCACGACACCCGATGCCGCCTGCGACATTCTACTGACACAGAGGAACGAATACAGACGGTCGGCGGCGCCAACTGGGGCAACCTTGGCAACGACGGCGGCATCAGCTCCTACGACTACGGCGCCAGCGTGCGCGAGGACAGGCGCGTCGACCGCGCAAAGTACTCGGAGATCAAGCTCGTCGCCAACTTCGTCCGCGCCTCCGAGGCGGCCCTGGCCCTGGCGGTGCCCGACAACGCGACGGCCTCGGTCGCCGTCGGCCCTGGCGGCCAGCCGCTCGAGGTGAGCCGCTTGTCGGTTCCCGGGCCGACGGCCGAGAACCAGGCCCGGACGCAGTTCCTGGTGGTGCGGCACCGCGACATCACGGTGGCGACGAGCACGCCCTACACGCTCAGCGTGCGCAGCAGCCGCGGGCCCGGCGACGTCTCGATCCCGCGGCAGGGCGGCAGCCTGACGCTGCAGGGGCGCGACGCAAAGGTGCACGTGGTCGACTACGACGCGGGCGGCGTCGAGGTCGTCTACTGCACGGCCGACATCTTCACGTGGAAGCGCATGCCCGACGGCCGCGTGCTGCTGATCGTGTACGGCGGCGTGGGCGAGCGTCACGAGATTGGCGTCGCAGAGGCGAGCGTGGCCGGGGGCGGGAACAAGGGCGACACGACGCCGCCGTCCTCGGGGAACACGCTGATCCGCGATGGCATCATCTCGTTCAGCTGGGAGGTGACGGAGGCTGAGAAGAGGGAGATGATCAGGCTTGGGTCGTTGGATGTCATGCTGCTCGGTAAGCTACCCTTGCCAACGTCAAGCGGATGGGCTCCCCCAGACATCAACTAACATTCCCAACAGACAGGGCTCAAGCACGGGCTTTCTGGGTGGTCGACGTCGCCAACCACCCGAACGCGACGGCCAAGAAGGCACCCACAGACGGCGCCCTCGTCGTCAAGGGCGGGTACCTGATCCGCTCCGCCTCGCTGGACGGCTCGGTGCTGCGCGTCCAGGGCGACTTTGACCGAACGGCCACGCTCGAGTTCATGGGCGTTCCGCCGCAGGCGACGGCGCTGTCGGTGAACGGCAACAGCACAAACTTCAGCGTGGACGCCACCACGGGCTTCTGGAAGACCACGGTCCTGCACTGGAAGCCCGAACTCAAGCTGCCCGACCTCAACTCGCCGGGCCAGGACTGGCGCTACGTCGACTCGCTGCCCGAGATCCGGCCCGGGTACGACGACGCCAGGTGGCCGCGGGCCAACCGCACGACCACGCCCAACATCGCGTACCCCAACCTCGCGACGCCCGTGTCGCTGTACGCGGCCGACTACGGCTTCCACAGCGGCTTCCTCGTCTACCGCGGCAGCTTCGTCGCCACGGGCGCCGAGACGGCCGTCGCGCTGCAGACGCAGGGCGGCGTAGCCTTTGGGTCAGCCGTCTGGCTCGACGACAAGCTGTTGGGCGCGTGGCCGGGCGAGAACAACGTGCAGATCCGGGAGGCGACGTTTGACCTCGCGGGGCCGCCGGCTCCGGGCCGCCACACCCTCACGGTGCTGATCGACAACCACGGCCACGAGCTGAACCTCGTGTCGGACGGCGACGTCATGAAGAAGCCGCGCGGCGTCATGAGCTACAGCTTCACATCCTCCCAGCCCCAGCCGGCCGTCGAGTGGGCGCTGACGGGCAACCTCGGCGGCGAGAACTACCTCGACCTGGCGCGCGGCCCGCTCAACGAGGGCGGGCTGTGGGCCGAGCGGCACGGCTACCACCTGCCGGGCGCCCCCGGCGCGTCGTGGGCGGCGCGGCACCCGGTCGCGGACGGCATCCCGTCGGCCGGGGTGGGCTTCTTCGCGACGCGGTTCGCGCTCGACATGCCGCGCGGCTTCGACGTGCCGCTGTACGTCGTCCTCGCCAACTCGTCGGGCAGCGGCACGGGCGGCCGCGGGGACGTGGCTGGCGGCAACTACTACCGCGTCCAGGTCTTTGTCAACGGCTGGCAGTTTGGCCGCTACGTCAGCCACCTGGGCCCGCAGGATGCCTTCCACGTGCCCGAGGGGATACTGGACTACCACGGCGAGAACTGGCTGGCCATCAGTCTGTGGGGGTCGCAGCCTGGCGGTGCGAAGTTGGCGGGGATCGCGCTGACGACGGCGCCGGGGACGGCGGGGCCGAGCGTCATCATGTCGGGGTACAAGAATGTCACGCTGGTCGAGGCGCCGGCGTGGACTGAGCGGGCGGGGGCGTATTGAGAGGCTGGTGTTTGGTCCTTCGTTGGTGAGGAGGAGAGTTAATGAGGCTTGACGTTGGCGCTGAGTTGCCGAAAGGGGCAGGTGATGATTGATAATTGCCCGAGTTTAATTGAGATACCGAACCCCATCATTGTAACTACCGTGCAAGGCTGAGTGTGCATATGGTGTGGTTGAAAGTGTGGCTGAGCATAAGCTGTGCAAAAAGCTGCTGATGGTAAGGAAAGTAGAAAAAAGGTTGGTGCCGACCATCTTGAAAGACGACCGACGGATGCGATGCGTGTGCCCGGACTCGAACCGGGAGCCCATCGATGGCAACGATGGATTTTACCCTTAAACCACACACGCTTCTCGCTTGATGATCGCTGGCCCTGCTGCGGGATTGATGCGGACGAAGGCCGGCCGTAGAAAGGCGGTGGGGAAGACTGAGAAGGTATCCATGTTGCGCAGTCCATGTTCCAGGCATCCATGAATGGCATTTGTCCAACGGCAACACATGGAATTCGGACCTGGGCGCGTGGCTTCCGTCATTGAAAAGCCTTCGCGTACCGTACCCACCGCCTCTTTACGTGAGTCAACCGGCTATGTGGGAAAGCGTTTGGTGTCACCTCGCCGTCGCACCACCTCTCAGTGGTCCCGGAAGCACGACCCAATGGCGTTTACGAAACGGGGGGGCATGCCTGCCAGCTGACGGCAGCAAAAGCAGCACAAATCCATGCAGCAGCACAACCGAGGCCTCACTTGCAGACGCTGATGCACCATCACGACAGCCAGCGCGCGCTGCCAAGGCAGCCTCCCCCGTCCCTCGCCCGACGGCGCGGGGAGCATGTGGGCTCCGCCACGCCCATCTGCCAGGTCTCGGGAGACGCCGGGGGCGGTGCGCGGGGGAGCACGAGAGTTTTGGGGGTAGCTAGCGGTCCATGTGCGGCCGCGTGATCCTGCCATGATGAAGGGAGACAGGGCGAACCAGGCGGGCTGCGGGCTTTCAAGGCCTCGACAGAGATCGGCCGTTGCCTAAAAGTGACGGGCGAGGCGACGTGCACAACTGGCAGGTCGATGCTACTTAAGTGTCTTAACCCCAGGTTGCCCTGTTTTCCATGTCGTGCATTTCATGACCTGTTTATGGGTTTTGATCCAACGCTGCGCACGATTCTTGCGAACCGACAAAACAGGCCCGCCTATCAGACGACAGGAACTACCACCGGCGCAATGGCGGGCTGGGCACAACAACCGGCCGTCAGATACGACACCCGGCCCTGGGATAGCGGCCAGCAGCTGCAAAACCGACACCGCCGAGACTCGGGCGCCGTGGTCCACCACCATGTCCCTGACCACCCCCAACGCAGCAGGAACCACAGCGCCCATCGCCCGCACCACCATCACCACAACCACCAGCACAGGCACAATCATCATGGCGGCCGGCACCAAGACTCCAGCAGCTCCCAAAACGCCCTCGTCGCCGCCACAGGCGACTACGTGGCCCGCCGCCTCGTCCCCCAGCTGCAGAGCGGCGCCCCGTCGCGCCCCGTGTCTCTCTTCATGAACTACGGCACCATGGTCGTGCCCAGCACCGACATCCTCTCCCCACAGGACAGCACCAGCAACACCACCGCCGCCAACGCCGTCCTCTTCAACGCCCCCGGCTCGACCATGATCCTGACGCCGCCACCCCCGCCCCGGCCCCGCCGTCCCAGGAGCGACGGGGCCGTCTACAGCGCGCACGTGGCTGGCGTCCCCGTCAGCAGCACCGGTGGTAGCAGCAGCACCGTCTACCGCTGCCCCACGGGCAACTACGTCGTGGCAGGGGCCGGCAGGGGCCGCCTCCACCGCGCCGGCAGCGCCGTGCTGGCCAGCTGCCCCGGCTGCGGGCTGCTGCGCACCACGTCGGGCGGCTACTGCCGCGACTGTGACATGGGCGCCAGCCTGGCCCGCGACGGCGCCGTAGCCCTGGCGCGGAGGTATCTCGTCGGGGCCAAGGGGCGGTTTTTGGGCAACTGAGCCCTTTGTGCTCGGCCCGGCTGTTGTCCTGTCGTTTCCATTGTCATGCTTAATGTTACCCATAACCTTATACGTTGGCTCCTAAAGGAGCGATTGCGGTTTTTTTTTTGGGTTTAATCCTACGAACAATCTTGTTGGCTAGCCCTTTCTTGTAATATCTAGCGACTTGCCGAATTCCTCTGCTCTTGCCTTCCATCTTTCTAACGACCTCCTTCATTCCCAATTTAATTTGTGGATTGTATTTTCCCACACAAATTCCGTTTAGAAGGACGTGCCCGTTCATTCAAACATCTCCATCATCCAGTCCGCCCGCCGATTGCCGTACCGACACCGGAGAATATCCGCCGCCGTGCGACCGTCGTGGTCCCGGATGTGTATCCCAATGCCTTGCTGGCAGAGTACCATGGACGCGTGCTTGAGAAACATTAGGTTCAAGTTGTAGTGGAGGAGCAGGTGCAGCGCTGTCCTTCCACCAGCGTCGACAGCGTTAATGTCCTTGACGGCCCTTGCCAACATCCATACGCAGTCGACGGCATCTGCCCGCCTCGCCCTTGTCGGAGGATCGTCGTTTTTGCCCATGTAATACCCGAGCCTCCTAACCATCTTCAGCAACGGCGTCTCTCCCCGCTCACACCGCGCGTCCGGATCGGCGCCTGAAGCGAGGAGGGTAGCGATCAATTCAGGGCGAGCGCCATCAAGCTTGCTGGCGGCGAAGTGCACTGCGTATCGATTATCCGCCACGACGATGACGAGTTATTGTTCAGGAGGGGGCGGACCAACGACATGTACCCTGATGGATTGTGGATGCATTGACGTGAACTTACAGACGTTGCTCCGACGCGCATGGTAAAAGCCTAGCCAGTTCACGGGATCAGAATCGAAAATGTCTCCGAGACTGGTCAAGCGGATGTTTGCCCCACGATCCAAAAGAAGCCCGATAACGCGGCTGCCCTGGAGCGTGCGGCACAGAGCAAGGGGTTGAGACCCTCGGGCAAATATTCGTTGACGTCGACTCCCCAGTCAAGCCAGAACTCGACCATGGGCAAGTCGTGTTCTCCCGCGGCATGGCACAGTGCCCTGGGCATTAGATTGACAGCCTGTTCGGGCAGCCTGGCGAGGAGGGGAGGGACTATTGCCAAGAAATCCTCCCTTGCCCAGCCCTTGCGTCCATAAGTCGCGAACGGAAGGATTTCCAGATCCGGATCCTCGAGGCCAGCCCGAGCAAGACACTTAAGCGCGTCGAGGTGAAGGGTGCAATCTTCTGAGGGCAAAAATCTCAGAACAACGGTAGATATCGGTGCACCCCTGCTGATTGCCCATTCCAGCATCTCGACCCCGCCCATCATAAGCGCGGTCGATGCCTATCGTATTGTTCCCCTAGTTAGCGCCTTTGCCACGACGGTAGCGATTCTTCTATAAAAGCCGACATGGCTTGCAGCCCCGACCGGAGCTTACAAAGGTCCGCGAGCAGTATTCTCGCTCCGATGCGTACAGCCCAACGTCAAGCCCACGGCTGATCAGGAGATCAATGACATCGAGCGTGTGCTGGCATGTGCGGTCTCGCCTCTCCATCAACAGGTTGCAGACGGGCCCCATCTCCACATCGTGCCAGTCCTGCTGCATATAGGGAATGTTGGGGTCGGCGCCGGAGTCGAGCAACAGACGCACAAGATCACTGCAAAGGGGCTTCTCGCCCCACTTGGAGTTGCCGTCATACTGGTGTTTAACAGCGCAGTGGAGCGGCGTAAACATTGACTTGTGCTCCGGCGCATCGGCGTTGGGGTCAGCACCCAGGGCGAGGAGCAGACACGCGATTTCCGTGCGGCGCTCCAGAGCGGCCTCGTGGAGGACGGTGACCCCGTATCTGTCCCCGCCGGGGTCGGTATGGATGCCATTGATGTCGATGTCCCGGGCCCGGACCAGGAACGATTTGACCGCGGCCAGGTCGCCTGCGCGCACAGCCCGGCGAAAGTCGCGGGCGTCGCGGTCGGCTGGGTCGATCCGGGGACCCGCCTTTGCGGCTCGAATGTTGTACTGCTCCATATACACCAAGCACATCGCGACGGTTACGTCCTTGCGTGGTGGCGGGGAGTCGAGAGCGGCCCGGCGAAGGAGGTTAAGGGGCCGGCAGGTTCAGGCTGCTGTTATGTCCGCTTAATGATGGGCGCCTGCTGGAGGTGCACCAACAACCACATGCAGACATGAAGTCAAGCATGGGGTTAGCCACACAAGCCCCACCACCACATACGCATTCACGCTCCTGCATTATTCCGACCAAAGCTATCCCTGTTACGATACGTTCGCCCACTTCCTATCGGCCTCACAAGGGATCAGTATGGATCACGCCCTGCTCCTCCACCTGCTGGCCACGCGCCTGGGCCCTGCCGGCGCGCCGCTTCGGGCAGCGCGGGCTACAACGCCGCGTTTCCGTCAAGTATCCCCCAATTTTGGGACACCAGGACATTTTGGAAAGTGATGTGAGACAAACAAGATGTCAAGGTGAGCTGGAAGACGCCGTCCAGACTGCCCACGCTTATCGCTCGGCTTACCAAAGCGTTGGTAGGTCTGCTGCGGGCGTGGGGGTTTTGTCGGTCCTACCCAATTTGGTGCAATAGGTGCGTGTCTTTGCTGAGAATCGAGACCGAAACCGTCAGCGAGATGACCCGAGATAAGCAGCCGCTCGCTGCCACACACCACTGGACGTCCAAAAAGGAAGCCAGAGTTCCACAAACCGAGATATGTACACCCTCATGGTAAGTACCTGAGCCTTGGATTTGTTCAGGGACCCGCGTATGCTTACTTTCCTCCCTTTGTAATTCCACCCGGGAAAACGAGGCGCCTTGCCCTGCCTGTACGACGAGGTGTTCCCCGAACAAGCGTATTCAGGTCATTACAACGGAGATGGATTGGAGTAGGCTCGGATGTATTAAAGTAAAGCAGAGCGCAGACAAGGAGGAGGTTCGTCAGAGGGCGAGGAAAATAGCTGCGTTTCGACACGCTACACCCCTGGGCTGTTCCCCCATTTCCACCATAAACAAGAACAAAGTATCGCAAGCATGCAAGAAAATTCCGACCTCCGAAACGCCGCCTCAAGCTCCAAAAGACAAAATACCACCGTGCATTCTAGCTTGGGCTACCATGTATACAAAGCGTGTGGAAAGAATTCGAATGTGTCCTGTTGTTACAACCCCTCAAGGTATGTCGAGGATGCCAGATCATTGGAAGCAATCCCATGGGGTGGCTCCTATTTTATCGTGTGGTGTGGTGTGGTGGGCATGGGTGATATAGCTCGTACCCCTCCGCGGACCTGTCATTTGCGTCCCGGTGTCAGCATACGCATACAGCCAACAGTGACATAATGAAGGAAGGGCGGATAGCCTACTGGATGTTGCCCGGGATGTCCCGTCGTGTAATTAACGGCGGGGGCTAGCATCCTTGTCCTTGTGCTCCATTCCCGTCGTCTTTGCGTCGACGGACGACGCATGGAGCGTCTGAGAGTTGTCGACCATCCGCGGAGTATATGTGGGCGGGGCGTTCGGCCCAGGGGTAGAGGTCCAGGCATCATGACACCTCACGAGCCCCTTTGGTGAAGTCGAGCGGACAAGTTGTTTCGCCATTCTGGCCTCTGTTCGTTGGGAATCTCAAAGGTGGTAAAGTTTATTCCAAGATGGTATTGCCGCTAGTGTTTCCGTTGCTGCTGTTGATGCTGCTACTTGCTCAACCCGTCAATAATGCCGAGCAGGAGGCGGCATGGGCGACACTTAATACTTGATCATTTTAAGGCGTCCGCTGCGCCTCCATCTCACGAAGCATCCCGGTGGCATGATACGTAACCGGTAGGGCTGAAGCAATGCGGCCGGTCATGCTACCTGACCACCCAAGCCCGTGCCTGCTGCCTTGTTTTCCTGACCGGGCTGAGGCTCAAAAAAACACCCCATGCAATCGGCGGGCGGTAGGACACCGCCATTATTGCCAGCAACATGCTGTGCTACAGCAGCAAAACAGGCGGGCTTTCAGCACCCTGCAGGCCCTCCCCGCTCGTGTCATGGTCCTGGCAGCCCGGCTGGGCTCTGGTGAGTCAGCGTGGCTTTGCTTGGCCCCCCTCCTTCCATGCGGCATGTCAGACGATGGTGGTTGCACGGCGACAGTATTGAGCAGCTATTGGGCGGCGCGGAGAGGGGTCTGTCGGAGCCTGCCAGCGACGGTGCCGCCGCTGCAGGTCTCTGGTAGCGGGCTTACTTGCGCTGGCCCCGCGCCGTGTGGGTACGACGAGCTCGACGGTCCAGTCCCGTCGTGCCAGCCGTGCGGGAGTCCCCTTAAGAGGCTGCCTCGCTACCCACATAGCCGACGTGGCAGTGGCAGTTGCGGAGAGACCATGCAGGTAGATGGGACGATTGACAGAGGCCGGCTGGACCGCTGGGGAGAGTGAATCACATATTGGCTCACGATACCGACACACGGACGGATGCAAGGAGTAGGAAGTGGTGTGGAAAATGGGAGGGATATACTCGCTTAGTTACCTGCTCACTTTTTTAGGCTGTCGATGTACTCCTTCACCAATGCGTCCGCGCTCTGGTCCCTCTCCAGGCCCAGCCCCAGCTCGCGCGAGTAGTCAATGTTCCACGCCCAGCTGCGCAGGAGCCTCTCGCTAACCTCGTTCTGCTCCTCCTTGACCAACTTTAGCTTATCCTCGCCGCCGTACCTGGCCAGGGCGTCCAGCATCTCCTGCACGCTCGCGATGACGCCCGGGAAGTTGAGGGCGCGCTTGTGCGGTGGCAGCTTGTCGGCGGGCCAGCCCATGACGCGCACCAGGTTCTCGACGCAGACGCGGGGCGTGCACAGCGTGGCCTTGAACTGGCGGTCCGCGATGGGGACGCGGCACTCGAGCCCGGCCATGGGCTCGCGGATGATTCCCGACAAAAAGGCGCTGGCGGCGGGCGAGGGCGCGCCGGCGCGGACCGAGACCGAGGGGAAGCGCACACTGAAGGCGTCGAGCAGGCCGCGGCGGTTCAGGTCGTTGACGAGGATCTCGCACATGTACTTGGTGGCGCCGTAGACGCCCAGCGGCGTCGGCGTCGTGTCGGGCGTCACGACGTCGGGGAGCGGCGTACCGTAGACGGCGTTGGACGAGGCGTAGACGACGCGCACGCCGGGCTGCTCCGCCGCGAGCTTGAACAGGATGGCGCGGGTGGCGTCCAGGTTGACTCGCATGGCCAGGTCCGGGTTCACCTCGGACCCGGCCGACATGATGCCGTGGAAGATGAAGGCGGCGGCCAGCGGCTTGGGGGCTGCAGCGAACAGGGCGTCGAGGGAGGTCGGGTCGGTCAGGTCGGCCTGGACGCAGATGGCGTTCTCCGGGTGGGCGACGCCCGGCGGGACCTTGGGGGTGATGACATCGGTGAGGACGACGCGGTAGCCGGGCTCCTGCAAAAGGCGGGCGGCGAGCAGAGGCCCGATCATGCCGGACGCGCCGGTGATGAGCACATTCTTGATCCCGTCCGAGGCCATGGTGTCGACGGTGGTTTACGGTGAGGATGGAGGGGGTTATGTTTGGGCGTGAATATCAGGGGTATATTCAGAAGCTGTTCTACAATCATGTGTGCCTCGATACAGTCCCTGCCTTTGGAAACAAGCCGCTGATGTCCGATGTTCGGCGAGCCGTGAGACGCGGGGTCAAATCGGGCTGGGCCCGTTCCGGTGGGAACTGCAGCTTTGAGCTTTGGCTGTGTCGTTTAGCGTGTCTGTGTCTCACATTTAACCCCGCGCTGGATGGGCTGCTTTTCCACAACATGGAGAGCACTGCCCCTATCACAGAATCAACATGTTCACAAACCATTGGGGCGTTCCTTCTCGTCTGCGCTGGGTGGGTCTTCCTTCTGCCCGCAGGGAAGGAGCTGGAGCTACCTAGAACTGTACGCGTAACACGCCCGTCGCAGTTGCCCTGAATTAGAACATTTTAGGCCACAGGAGCTTCCGCTGGACTCGGCTCGCCCTCACCTAATGTCGAATCACGACTCTTGGGAGGACCAGCATGACGACATCTCAGGCGACAAATGGCAAGGCTGTGCGATATGCGGCCTCTCCAGCGATGGCGACGACGGCTTCTGGCTGGACTCGCTCGTGTTTGAGATCGAGATATCTGCACTGCTTCAGTCTCGCGGCGAGGGCTGCTGGGGCTGCTGCCTGATATTCGACGCCATCGCTGCCATCCACCCTAACCACAGCCTTTTCACCGAAACCCGCCAGATCCGCCTAACCATAGACCGTGGCCACGCGGGCGGCCTGACAGTCAAATTCACCGCACAAGATCGCATCGTTTTCGCCCTTCCCACTACCAGCTTCGAGATTTTTGGGCTCCGGGGCTTGCCTAACCCGTTCAGATCCCTCGCCAAGGTCGACGAGATTATCCAGGACACTCGAGATGCCCGTGTCTGCGGAGCCAAGATTTCCACGTGGCTCGGGAAGTGTGTCGGCCCTGACGCCGACCCCTGGCACACCTCGTCCTGTCGAGGCACCGACCCAGACTTCACACCACGGCGCTTGATCCATGTCAGACAAACGAGCGACCCAGACGTCCACCTTGTCGAGCCCGGTGATCCCCTGGATCAAGTCCTACACCCGGTGTCCTATGTCGCCCTGAGCTACTGCTGGGGCCCCGATACCACTGGCATTGTCAAGACTCTGAAAGAAAACATCGAACAGCATCGTCGTGGAATGTCCATCAGCGCCCTTCCGAGGACGCTGCAGGACGCCATCACCGTATGTCGCAGCATCAATGTGCCATATATCTGGATCGACGCGCTATGCATCATCCAGAACGACTCGAACGATTGGGAGACCGAGTCTGTCAAGATGCTCGATATCTACTCCAACTCACACCTTACCATCGCCGTCCACCATGCCGTGTCGTGCAAGGACGGCTTCCTTGGCGGGCAGCTTTTTGGGGAGGAAACTTGGCAGATCAAGTTCCATACGACCATTCCCAGTAACGGTACACCTACAAGCTCGTTCCCGATGGCCCTGAGACAGAGGCTTTCTCGGGACGACGGTGTCCTAGTTCCGTTCCCCGAAGACGACGCGTCCCACAAAACACCGCTTCTAGAACGTGGCTGGACTTTCCAGGAGGCCATCATGCCCCGCCGGATCATTCACTTTACCACCCGCGAGCTCATCTGGGAGTGCGGCTCAGCTCACTGGTGCGAATGCGGCCATGTCGAGCATCCAGATCGATACCAGATGCATGAAACGGCACACCAGCTCCTCGTCAAGACAAACACCGAGACCAGTCGAACGGGGCAGATTTTCGATCCGGGACAAGTATGGATCAACATTTTGAGAAGTTACGGCAAGCGCAGATTCACCAATCCTTCCGACAGGCTGATTGCCTTGTCTGGCGTGGCCAAGATCATGGTGCGCGAGCTAATCAAGGTTGGTCATCATTTCTCTTGGCCTTGTGTTTGCCTTGCACGAAGGGATCCTCGGTCTAACATAGGCGGCGCGTATCGAACCTTCAGGTGTCTCCGTTCCAACAAGAAACGCTTGTATCAGTTTATCTGGCCGGGATTTACCGCACTCACATGCCTCGTCAACTTCTCTGGGAAACGGACTGGATGTCTACAAAGACAGTCGACGCGGTCCCATCAATCATTGAGGATAGAACAAACCCTTACCTAGCGCCGTCATGGTCATGGGCCTCGGTGCGGCACTCGACAACCTACCGTATGGGCCAGTGGCAGGAGACTTCCCACATCGAGCTTATGGGCGCATTTTGTACGCCGAAGCAAGCAGGCGGTGACCTGACAGGAATCATAGTCTACGGAGAGCTCCAGATCCGCGGCCTTGTAGTTCCAGTCGTTCTCAACACGTGGCCCTCGTCGTTGCCATTGGATATTACACCGCGTCCGCCGGATGACGGACCAACACGTGCCAACAAATGGACTGGCCGTGCCGCCGAGGTGCGCCGTCGAGACCACTTGGAATCCGTTGTGCGCGCGCGAAACGGCTGCAAGGTGGAAGTCTTATGTGATGTCGAGCAGGCAGTCAGTGTCAGCGACCCAGACAGTCAGCTATGTGCGTGCTGGGGGTCAAACTGGTGTTGGAACTGCGCCGAGGATATTAACTGGGACAACCCAGAGTTCTGCTGCATGAAAATGGCCACTCACATGTGGGAGTTTGGCCGGGCCAGATGGACCATCAAGGGCCACTTGCTAGTATTTAGGCGGTCCAAGGCGGTCCAAGGTGCATGGGAGCGTGTGGCGTTGGGAACACTTGACTCTCAAAGCATCTTGTTGGCGCCGCGCCACAAAATCTCGCCCTGGGCAGGCCGGCAAAACCCCGAGGAGATAAAACGGGACTTTGAGCGGGAAGAATGGGGGTTGTTCAGGGGCGGGGAGATCAAAACTCTGCGGGTGGTTTGAAGGATAGGAATGCCCAAAAACAGAGGTCATTCCTCCGATGCCGACACCTGACCGCATTTCAACCGTCAAGAAACAGGTTCTGTCGTGGGAGATTCCCTTGGAAGATGCTGCCACGCCAAGATATCACCGGCTGACTCTTATTCTCGGCGGAAACAGACCAGATTCAGCATTGCGACGCATCCGCTTGCTACAAAGCACAATATACTTCACTGATGACGAGGCTCGGAGCCATTCTCCTGGTCAAGCGCCAATCATTACCGGTTTGGTGCATCCTTACCGCAGACGGGTAGCACGGCAGGATTCGGGCTGACGGAGGAGAAGCCGTCAAGCGGAGATCGAATAAACGGCGCAGGCTTTTCGGGCCTACTGGGTCTGTCGGGCACCGGCTCAGCTACTGTAATGCCGACCCGAGATGGAGCAACATTGGCAGCACCATTTGAGGCTGCCAGCTGCCATCACGCGACTGGAACAAGCCACACTGGGCATTGGGAGGGTTAAGGCAGGCCAGCGTGGCAGCAGCGAATAGCACACCGGGGAGCTCGCAGTAGCCTTCTTGGCGCGCGCCGATCCGGTGCGGGGAGAATCCTATCCTCGGGTTCCAACAGCTCAACCCCGCCGGGGCTCGCGTTCCTTTCGTGGACTACCCGGCAGACAAGGCTTGGCACGCAGATGGTGGCTGACGATGACGCAGACGACGCAGACGAGATGGCGCTGAATGCGGGAGCGGAAAGGAAGCCTCCCGTGGAAAGACTCCAGAAGGGATGGAATGTCATCGCGATCGGGAGACGGGTTTGTCCCCGGTGGGCCACGGCGATATATCATGTCCATACGGCCCTGTCGTTATGCCTGCGTCCAAATGGCCGAAGGATATCCCTCGCCTCATCGCGGTGTTTCTCCGCGCCATTCGCTCCCCCCTCCCGCACCGCCTGTGACTTGTGACAGTCCACACCAATTCAGGTCGCATCGAGGCATTGTCGATCAGGGACCGCAGTATGATTTGCGCCGCCGCAACCCTCGCGTTTCTCGCCGTCGCTGCCGCAGCCCCTATCAAGGGACTCGACCGGCAGACCATCCAGGACCAATATGACTTCATCATCGCCGGAGGTAAGCACTTGGTCCCCCCGTGTTGCTGCCGTCAAGAATCGCAGACTGACGCGTACAGGTGGCACCGCCGGCCTGGTCCTTGCGAATCGTCTCACCGAGTCGGGTAAGAACCGCGTCCTGGTCCTCGAGGCCGGGCCCGAGCCGACTGTGGTGTCGGCCTACAAGGCCCCCGGCGGCAACCAGCTTCTTGGAGGGACGGCCATAGACTGGTCTTTCTACACGACGCCACAGGAGCACCTGGACGGCCGGGTCCTCCGATACCACCGCGGCCGCTGCCTAGGCGGGAGCAGCGTCACCAACGGGCTATTCTACGGCCGCGGTAGCGCCTCAGTCTTCGATGACTGGGTCCGCCTCGGCAACCCCGGCTGGGGTTGGGACGACCTGTACCCACTGGCCATCAAGGGGACGCACTTCAACCCTCCGCACGACCACGAGGTACGCGGGTTCGACGTCACCCACAAGACGTGGGATCCCAGCGCGTACAGCGATGGACCTCTGCAGCTCGCCTTCCAGGGATACGTGCCTCCATCGACAGTAGGGTTCATGCAGGCGGTGTCGGAGGCGCTGCAGATTCCCATCGTGAAGGACTACAACATGGGGAACAGCACGGGTGTCAAGCAGGGGACGGGCACGCTGGACGGCGACCTGATGCGCAGCTCGGCCTACGACTCGTACTACAAGCAGGCTGCCGGGCGGGAGAACCTCGACGTGCTGTTCCACGCACCCGTATGGCAGATCCTGACAGAGGGCACTTCAGATGCTAGCAGCAAGCCCAAGGCGACAGGAGTTGCGTTTATGGACCACCCTTCGGGGATGGTGTACGAGGCCAAGGCGGCCAAAGAGGTCATTGTCAGCATGGGAGCCTTCAACTCGCCTCAGATCCTGATGGTCTCGGGCATCGGCCCCAAGAGCCAGCTGGACAAGTTTGCGATCAAGCCGCTCGTCGTCAACGAGAACATTGGCCAGCAGTAGGCTCTGCCCAACTCTTTTGGAGCGCATGTTCGAGTTTGGTCTTTTTGCTAACACGTCTTCCCACAGCCTCAACGACCACTCCGTCTTCAGCATCATGGCCCTTTCCACGCCCGAGTTCTCCACCATCGAGATGATGGCTTCGTGGACGCGGCTTCGTGAGGCGCAAGACGAATTTTACGCCAACAGATCTGGGCGCTACACGGCCCCGTCGGGCATCACCAACGGGTTCCAAAAGCTGTCTGAGACGGAGCTGCGCGCGATTGGGGCCGAGGAGATCATCACTCGCAAGCTGGCTAACCAATCCCACATCGAGTACCTCTTCGAGCCCATCTGGTACCCGGGCGGGCCGACGCCATACTACACGCCCCGCGGGAACGAGTCGTACATCTCGGTCACGGCGTCGAGCATGGTGGCTCTGTCGAGGGGCAACGTCACGCTGAAGAGCGCGTCCATGGCCGAGTTTCCGAGCATCAATCCCAACGTAAGTCCACTACCCATGCGGGACGGGGAGGCTTTGCAGCCGGATTTGCTGACCCAACTGCCGCCAGTACTATGCCCATCCCGTCGACCGCACAATCTCCATCGAGTCGTTCAAGTACCTGCGCAAAATCCTCGCCCACCCGGCGCTGTCCCAATACACGCTAGGCTCCAACCACGGCGAGCTAAGCCCTGGCAGCGCCGTGACGGACGACGACGACGAGGCCATCTGGGAGTACGTCAAGTCCAACACGATCCCCAACTGGCACGCCTCGGGCACCAACCAGATGCTGCCGCTCGAGGACGGCGGTGTGGTGGACCCGCGCCTGCGGGTGTATGGTATGGACAAGCTGCGGGTCGTCGACTGCAGCATCATCCCGGTGCTGCCCGATGTGAACATCCTGGGGCCCGTGTACATGTTGGCCGAAAAGGGGGCGCAGCTCATCCGTGAAGACTGGGGTGATCTGTAACGGAGGCAGAGCAGCAAGTACTTTGGGCAGGCAGCCTAACCAGGAAGTGAAATATCTATAGGTCTCATGCAGTGGATCCTTCCTAATTAAGCCACGTACCCAAATACATTTTTCACCATAAAAAATCCCGCCAAATCGATGTATCGCTACCCGCACCTCCATTAGTAGCGGGACTTTTTATGGTGAAAAATGTAGCTAAGTGCGTGGCTTAATCAGGAATGATCCACTGCACTAACGTTTCTGATCCCTGGAACCCATACAGCAACGGCTCCGCAAGATGGGGACCGTGATCAAGAGCCGCATCACTTAGATTAATGCCAAGCTGATTGGCAATTTCTGCAAGCATGTTCCTGGAGAGGCTCGGGTGATCGGGTGCCACTTGACTGGATATAATCGTCTCCCCCGGCCTATATCACCGCACGTCCCGGAAGCGCTGCCGCGCACGCGCCACAGCCCCGCCCGTCACCCGCCCCGCCGGGTTCAGAATGGCGGGTTGGCGTTCTGCAGCAGCATTACAAAGTACTCCTGGAACCAAGCACCAGCCTCGGGCGCCGGGATGAGAGACGAGTTGGAGCCGCAGCGCTCGTCGTAGCGCTCCGCCGCTGTATCGCTGGTGCCGTCCGCCTCGCCGCCGGGCTTGACCCAGACGAAAGCGTCGAGCGTTTCCACGCCCGTGTCGGCCGACGGGCGCGCCCCGAACCCGGCGCCCTTGATGTTGCACCACTCAGCCCACGAGTCCCTGCCTGTTGGCTGCCTGCCGCTGCGGCCCTGATCGACTATAAAGCGCGCCGGGAACCCTTCCTCGGCCAGGTGCGGCGCCAGGGCGGCGTGGAACTTGCTCTCGTCCCAGTTGTCGTTTGGCACGGTATAGTCGAACTGGACCGAGGTGTTCCACGCGTTGAAGTTGGACACGTTGGTGACGAGCCCGCGGACGGCCTTGGGGGAGCCGGCGCGCCTGTAGGCGGCCCCGTAGACGCGCGCCGTCGGGGCCAGGTTGGAGTCCCAGCCCAGCCAGCCCGCATGGCCGGCGTCGAGGTAGACGGCGGCGTTGGGTCTGTCGAAGGCGCGCAGCGCGTACTCGGTCGCGGACAGGTAGGCCGGCGCGGCGTTGGCGCAGCGCTCGACCTCCATGTTTGTCACGAGGTTGGCGAGGCCGTCGGGCTCTGGGGGAGGGGCGTTTACAGGGGGTTGTCAGCTCGACGTTGGTTTCAACGTCAAGGGGGAAAACAGGAAAACAAGCAGAAAATGAGACGAACCGTAGACAATGACCTGCCGCACGTCCGAGTACTCGTCGATCAGGGCGGCGATGGGGTCGATAAATTCCTTCTCGTACTTGGCGAGCCCCCCGTCGGCCAGCACGAGCTCGCCGGCCGAGGCCTTGGCGGAGCAGTCGCGGTCCGGGAAGTTGTAGACGACGTAGGTGGCGGCGAAGGGCGGGCTGGCGCCGGCGCGGTTCGCCTCGCGGATCGCGGCGAGGGTTTCGTTGAGCAGCGGGATCTTGTCCCTCGCGTCACTGTCGGGCAGTCGTCCCCCTGCTGCGTTGGCAAACAAAACGACTATAAAAAAAATACGCTACGGACGACCCACTTACAGCCACTGAAAGGACGGGACCTCGGCGACCTTGGCGGCCTTGGCGGCTAGCTCCGGGCTCAGCCGTGGGATGGCGAGGGTCCGGATCTTGTCGGCATACGGGGCGCTGGGGGACATTTGCACGTCGGCCAGCGGGTTCCCGGTGTAGGACGCGACCTGGCGCGGGCTGCCGCTCGGCGCCGCGAGAGCGTGCAGCGGGCCCAGGGCCGCCGAGGCGAGGAGGAGGCGGATTGGCGACATGACAGGCACGGACGATGGCAGACACGAGAGCTCTCTCGCCATGATGAACACCGGGGAGGCTTGGAATGCCGTTCCATCATTTATATATGTGACTTTTTTTTCTTCTTGTACGGAAACGTCACAACATCCCATCTCGTCACGGATGGTGACACCCGCGCTGGTGGTCTGGATCAAGCTGGAATTGGTATTGCAGCACCGGCGGCAGAAAACAAACAGAGCCTTGGCCCCCCGCGCGCAGCCTTCCGGTGACGGAAGCAACGGTGACGAGCTCCGCGAGCGTACTCGGACCAGAGTCAAGCATGCGTCCCCAAGTCTTGGATGGTGCGGGACGACGGCGACGGCGTTGATCCCGCAGCCTCTGGTTGGACCGACCAAACTCCCCGCCCGCCGGGACGAGCCTTGGCCACTGTGAATGGGCCGACTTGGCGCGTCGCCGCCATACCTTTTGCCGGCAGCGGGGGACCAAACTCCGGGACATTTGGCAAGGGAAGCAAAAGGAGAAGAAAAAAAACAGCCGACATAAACAGATGGCGCTAGCCGACACGGCCCAAGCTCCTGGGGACGCCGACCCTGTGTGCCTGAGATGTGGCTCATCGCCCCCTGTCTCAGGCCGTCTGGGAAGACGAAGGTGACCGAAACCTCACCACGTTCGGCCCTCAGGCTGTTCCACAGCAGCGACAATACCAATACCAAGACAAAGAAATATCTCATGATAACGCCTTCGTAACCTTTCCCTGTTGAGCGACATCTCGCCAGGCACAAGCGGTTTATGCCGCCGCTGGAGACGATGGAGAAGATCGAGCCCACCGATGCAGGTGCGAGATAGATTGCAGCCGTCCGCACGGTCCTATTTTTAAATGCAACCCTGCCCGCACATGGGCTGTAACGTCTCCACGCCTGCCCAAACGGGAAAGACGATCCACGCACCTGCGACTGCTCCCCTGCGTCTGCCATCCCAAGCTCTGTCGCCTTGGCCAGGCTTGTGTTGTTTGCTGCTCCAGAGCTTCCCACCACTTCCCCAACCGGCCACAGGGCGGTTTCAAGACAGGTTGTCAGCAATGCAGAACTAAATTTGGGTGAGCCATGGTAGCAAACGAAACATGTGACATCTCACGATATTTCTGGCAAACAAGTTGCTATTTTCTTCATGTCTTGCCCGCCCGGAAGAGTCGGCAGGCCCAAGCCCACCAACCCGCTTAGTCCCAGTCCCAGCAACAGCTCCAGCAACTCCCATCGCAACCGTCCCCGCACCCAACATGCCCATGCCAGGGTCTGGCTCGAGTCAACAGCCCTGTCTTCGGGTCCCATCCGCCCACGAAGTGCCATTGCCAAGAACCAGGACGCTAACCAGGATGTTCTTCCTTCAATGTCGCACGTCCCCAGATCCGAGATGCCTCCTCCCACTGCCCCGACGGTGACGACTGGACTCGCTTGATCCGCAAGATGCGGACGGCCGAGCGGACGGGTCGAGGACAGCATAAACGACGAGAAGCGACGGCCATAAGAACCAAGCCCTCGCTCACTGCTGATCTTGTTTGATTCCCCTTCTCTCCAACCCACCCGCGGACATCAGACCTAAACACATCGGGCAGACACCCTCACCCCATCGTCACTCCAACAAAACACCAAGCGTTCCCCCGCTCGCTCGCAACCATGAAGAGCTTCGGAGTCCTCTCCCTCCTGTCACTGGTGGCCTTGTCCATCGCGGCGCCCCTCGAAGCGCGCGCCAACACGGTCAACCACGACTCGCTCTTCCCCAAGCCGCAGACCGTCCGGGGCGGGCCCGACGGCGAGGCCATGGTGCGCTTCAGCCCGCGCCTCCGCATCGCGAACGGCTGCCAGCCGTACCCGGCCGTCGACGACTCGGGCAATGTCAGCGGCGGCGTCAAGCCCGGCGGCAGCTCGGCGAGCAACTGCGGCGACCCGGGCCGCGCGCAGACGTACGCGCGCGCCGGCGTGGTCGACGGCCAGTTCGCCATCATGTACAGCTGGTACATGCCCAAGGACCAGCCGCGGTCCGACACCATCGGCGCCCACCGCCACGACTGGGAGAACGTGGTCGTGTTCCCCGACGGCGCGCGCCAGGCCATCACCAGAGGTGCCGCCTCGGGCCACGGCCAGTACAAGATCGCCAGCTCGCCGCCGACGCCGCCCACCGTCGAGTACTTCACCAACCTCCCGACCAACCACGAGCTGCAGTGGAGCGGCGACGCCCGCGCCGTCCAGCACGCCGTGCTCGACTGGGAGGTCATGCCGCAGGCGTCCCGCGACGCCCTGCAGTCGCACGACTTTGGCTCCGCCAACGTGCCCTTCAAGGACGGCAGCTTCGAGAGCAACGTCCGCAAGGCCATCAAGGGCTGATTTGGAGGATTTCGGTGGGGAGGGATCACATAACCCAACCACTTACTTAATTAATGTACATTTTATGACCACTGCTCGTTCCCTGCTTGACCTTGACTTGTATATCTGCATGCCGTAGCCGTCTTTGATCATCCCGCGAGTTGAGAATACTTTTCTTTGTCAACATATAACCACAGCCGTACGGCTCTCCGGCGAGTGACTGTCATCGAGATCTCGACCTGATCCTCCTAGTCCACGGCCACCATTCAGGCCACCCAGCCACGAGCGTCAACCCATGTAAGCAGCACATCTTGGGACGGTCGTCTGCCTGGACGGAGCTTGCCGGACGCCTCGCGCCTGTGGGCAGCGCCACGACAGGACGGGACGAAAGGGGCGGGTGGTGTTTTAATCAACCGCGTGCAAGCCTTGTATTATTTCCCTACCCCTCCCGTCCGTCTGGTTGGACACAAATGACAGGCCAGGCTTCCGGGATCGGCAAGCTTTGCACCTCATTTAGTTGTCCTCGTCCGCGCCGGTACCTTGGGCCTGGGCCGTCGATAGAAGTGGGCGGAGTTTTAATTCGTCCGTTCATGGTTGTTTTTTTGGGCGTACGGAAATAGATTGATTGTCCTGTTTTGCCGTTGGTTAGGCCGCCTCCTTATTCCTCCACCCCATTCCAGAAAGCGTCGGCATCCTCCGTCCAATGCCATCGCAAGACTTTGTTTCCAGCTTCGCCATCCTCCATCCGATATTGCCACTACCTCCTCCGGCGGCTTAGCTTTCAGCAAACGACGTTGGCTCGAAAACAGCCACACTGACTTGCATCTACCCCTCAGTCCAGGCCGCTCTACGGTTTTATGCAGATTGAAAGGAGCAACTGGCCTTGCATGTCGCGATTGCCCACCATTGCTACCAAGAAATGCTCGAGCAGCACAGTTCAAGGTTGGGACTGGTCCTGGCCATCGCCGATCCTTCGCCTCATGCCTTCTGGCTCGCAGGATAACGATGGCTTCATGTCCTTACCGCATGAGTACCATCTCGATGTACCTCACATCACGTCCAAGCGTATAAAAGAGCGAGCAGCTGCCGCCATCAGGAGAGTGAAAGATGCCCATTCCAACCCACTTCCTCACCTCAACCCTCAAACAACGGACCAGAACACAATCCGATCCACTCCAACCTCCATATCAACCCTGCCGTCCCTCTGCACCATCTACCACCCAACACCACCATGAAGTTCGCCAAGCACCTCACGGCCCTTCTCATTCCAGCCTACGCCGTCCTGGCCGCTACCGTGCCTGCGGCCGAAGTTGAAGCCGAATCCGGGTATGACAGCCCCTTGCCCCACTCTCCTCCCCAGGTCCGTCTCCCGTTTCCTCCCCCCATGCCAGCAAATGTGCTAACCTAGGTCTCCAGCAGCAACGCCGTACACAAGATAAACCCGGCTCTGGTGCAGGTTGACGGACACGCCGGGGCCGAGGCCGTCCAGGCCCGGGGCTTTGGCGGGCGCGAAGATGGGCGCGGAGACAGGCGGCGAGACAGGCCCAGGAAAGGCAGGCGCGACGGCTCCGAAGAGAAGGAGCTCAACAGTCGTGGCGAGGCCCACGGGGGCTTCGGAGGAGGCGGACTCAACGGCCGTGGTGGCGGCGGACACGGCGGCGGCGGCTTCGGAGGCGGCGGCGGTGGCGGGCACGGGTTTGGAGGAGGTGGTGGTCACGGGGGTGGCGGGCACGGTTTTGGGGGTGGCGGTGGTCACGGCCGCTCGGGGGACGAGGAGTGAGCGAGGAAGCGCCAGTGTGGCTAGGCGTGGCTCCCATTGCTGAGACACTGTTTGCTTCCATCCGTCATGTTGTGTCTTCAGACTGGTCTCCGCGCACGACAAATGCTTGAACGCTCGTATAGCATACATTGGCTCTTTTTATTTCTGCCCTCTCCACCTTGGCCGTAGTCCAGACTGTAGCAGTGTCCCTGCTTAGCAGCAGATAAGACGTCAAGCTGCGTACTGGAGCCTCTTCCATCCAAAAGACGGTTCTAGAGGGAACGAGAGCTGCACAACCGCCTGACTTCTCCTCCATAATTCTACCTGAACCGCCGCACTTCAGCTGCATCGCGCAGGATGGCACACTTCCGCCGCCACTGCGTCGTCATTTGACAGCCGACAGCTCCCACGATGGAGTGATCGCTGTTCAAGAAGGAGAAGCTGCGCGAGCTGAGGGACTCGCTGCACGCGAGGCTGTCTTCCATCGACACGCTCCTCACGGCAGCGCATCACATTACCCAGGTCAGTCGCGCGGTTCCAGCTCGCACAGTAACCTGGATAGGACGGCGGTGGCGAGCCCTAGCTCCCGGCGCACACCCAAGATACGGACGACGACGAGCATATGTGCTTGGAGGAAGATGGCGACTTTGAACAGACTGTTTCTTGGTTAGATGGACTTGCTAATATGGATGTGGACGACTTTAAAAAGAACGGCAACAGTAACAACCCCTCATGCGTGTTAAGCTCGCCCTCGATCCTGGTGTAATCACCCACGTTCACAACCGTTGCCAGCCTCCCCTGAGCAGCCTTGGAACTCCCGTAACTCCACTCACCCCGGGCGGCTTTGGCCTCAGCCGCAAAAGAAGCGGGTTGCAGTCGAGGAGGACCTCAAGGGATACGTGTAGTGCCTCGCCCCGTTCCGCGCGCAAGAACTGCGAGCACAGGCAGAAGCGCAGCGGCCCTGGACATCCACGGGGCCTCTCCCCGGTCCGCCGCATCCCCCGGCCCCGCGCGACGCCAACGATGCCCGAGCGACGCGGGCGGGCCCGAGGACCTGGCGCGTGTCAAGGTCAAGATCGAGACCCGGGAGCAGGTTCAAAGCCGAGAAGCAGGTGGCCGAGGCTGCACAGAAAGAGCAGGAAGAGCCAAAGAGAGAGAAGTACGTCGAGGAAGGGACGCGCTGCTGGCCGGGGCGAACAGGAAGGAGGAGAGGCGAAGGCGCCCATCAAGCTCAAAGACGCCATCAAGGAGGGAGGTCGGCTACCCCCTCTCGCTGGTGCCAAACGTGGCAGGTAGGTCCACGTATGGCGACACACCCTGCTGAGACTCGGGATGGTTAGCACACGGATCACCCACAGGATATGGAGGGATTCATCAAGCAGGCTTTTTGTTCGCACGTCAAGAGTATTGGCCCGGCCGTGATGCAGGGACACCACGACATCGTCGGCCCCAACGGCGAGATTGTCCTCCTAGCCCTCAGGGAGAAGGTCGTGCGGCCGAGGCAAGTTGCTTGCAAAGGGCAAGTGGCAGAGGAGCAAGAAGAAGGTCAGGACGTACATTTCCTCTGGAAGCGGCTCGTCCTCCATAGTGTCGTCATAATAGGACGGCGGATTTCCAGCCCCCTTGGCCCACTGATCCGCATATCGGCCCAAAGCCAAGTGCTTTTAAAACGGCATGCTCAGTCAAGGGCCGGTAGTTGATATATATCGAGGCTAAGGGGAGCCATGGTGGCCGTCTTATCGCTTGCCCTTGCAGCAAAGCTTTCTACTTCTGACCACCCGCTCTCCTCTGGTTGCCACCAAGGGCCCACGTCACTCGCGGACATAGAGGTACCCAGTCTGCATGAGTCCAGCTGAGCAGGAAGGAGCGTCCGGGTTCTGTTGACGCAGAGTGCACGGACAGAGGCAGCCAGGATTCCAGCAACACTTCCTCAGTCCCACGCACAAATCTTTTCCCAAAAAAAATACACACAGAAAGTCTGACGACAAAATGGAAAAAAGCGATCACAGCTCGCCTCTATCCTCGCTCGTTTGAATGCTCTTTTCTCAGCAATACACAGCTAAAAATCTGACGTCAAAGCAGGCAATAATCACAGCCAGCCGTCGTCCTCGCTCGCTCCAAGAACACCATTGCACCCGCCTTCTCCCGAGACCCATCGTCGCTTGACGTTGTTCTCGCTCGCCCGGAGAACGCTTTGCACCCGCTCTCTCCAACAACCTATCCCTCTTTGCCCTTGTCCTTGCTCGCTCAAACAAAGCCTCTTCACCCGCCCTCTTCAATACCCGGCCGCTGTTTTTACATATCAGAGAGAGTCTGTCGACAAGGTGGGAATCAGGAAATCACAGTCAGCTGCTGTCCTTGCTCGTTCAGAGAAGGCCTTTTCACCCGCCATTTTTTATAACCAACCGTTTTTTCTTCGCTTTCCAAAAGGATACATATCAGAACATCCGTCGACAAAGTTGGAAGCAGGCAATCACAGTCAGCTGCTGTCCTCGCTCATTCGAAGAAGGCCTTTTCACCCACCCTCTCCCACAGCCTAGCGTTGTTTGTCGTCCTGGCCTGCGCCCTGTAAACGCCATGGAGAATTTTGAGACACATCTGAAGGAGCGCTCTGCGTCTTGGGAGGCGTGCAACAGCAAAGATGAGCAGGTCAACGCCATAGTTGAGGTGAGCATTCCGGCATGGACGACTTGTGCGCGGGACCAAGCTTAAGCTAACCGCGAAAACTCCCCAAAAGACCCTGTTTACCGATATCAAGATGCTCAACGACACTCTGGAGCAGGCGAAGAGCGCGCTCAGGGAGCAGAGCTCGCTCACGCTCACCTATCGCTACGAGCTGGAGAGAGTGAAGGAGGGCTTCAACGAGTGTCTGGCCCGACCGGTTTGTCGCCTTGTTTTTTTTTTTTTGTTTTTTTTGCACTGCCAAGACCTCTGCCTGACCTTTCCACCTCCTAGGAGCCTGACCCCTACGTCAAGATTCTCGTGGACGGAAACCACCTGCTGGTAAGCACATCATCTATTGTCGCCCTCCCCATCCCCCGACCTATGCAGCAGACGACTGAAAACAGCAATTCTACCCGCAGTTCAAAGACCACTTCATCAAGGGCGGGTTCGTCGGTGGACGCAACGCGGTGCGCAGCCTCGTCGCGGCCGTCGAGCAGCTGATGGACTCGCCGGCCGAGCGGGGCGACGGGCCGCGCCCAAAGGTCGAGGTGCGGGTGTGCGCCAACCTCAAGGGCCTCTCGAAGCTCTACAAGGAGGCGGGCGTCGCCGACCTCACCCCGGAGCGGGTCGAGTGGTTCGTCGCCGGCTTCAAGGGCGCGGGCTGGCCGTCGTGCGTCTTCCTCGACGCCGACGAGATGCTGGACCCGGCGCTCATCGGCGAGCGCTTCGCGGCCGAGCTCGTCTTCACCCTCGACCAGCACCGCCACTGCCGCCGCGTCTTCTTCGGCGGGGTCATCGGCGCCGACGGGTGCATGAGGCGCCACCTGGGAGAATGCGCCCGCACCCCCGAGTGGGAACGTCGGCGCATCGCGCTGGTCCGGGGCCCGCCGGTCGCGCCATGGCTGGCGGCGCTGCCCGAGGACTCGTTCCGGGTGGTGGCCTTGGACGACGTCTTTCGGTAAGCGGGCGCCCACCTGCCTCGTCACGTCGTGCGGCCGGCGTCACCGTCGGATGAGGCCGTCTGGAGCCCCGGGGGAACCTCGGCCAATGGCGCCAGGAATCTTGAGCAATGGGGCTTGCACCATAGATAGAAGCACTAGGAATGGAAAACCTTGGCAGTATTTCGCAATGAAAAAAGCACACGATGAAGGCTGTCATTTCTTCTACCTGGTATAAACACTGAGAAGCGGACATTGTAGGCTCACATGACTGGGGAAACCGCAGAGATACGTGTATCCATTTTTCCTTCAACCGGTCTAGGCAAAACTGACACCCACCAGCACGCACACACCACCACCCCTCTTCCCCACACTACATCCCCCAAAAGCCAGCCCAGCCTACGGAGCCGGAGCAAAGTTGAACATTTCGAACCCCGCGATGCCCATCATGTTGTTCCCCCGGCGCCATGGCACCCCGCGGCGCAGTTCTCCACCGACCCGGCCGCGGTTCCGGCCCAGCGCGCGTAGGCAGGCCCGCCGCGCGACGTGCGGCCGTGACCGTCACCTCGGTGCGCAGCAGGCCGCCGTGCTCGGGCCCAAGTCCACGGTCACGGTGAAGCCGCGCGGCTCCCAGGTCTCGAGCTCGCCGGCGACGGGCGGGTGTGCGGCGCCGACGGGGCGCGCCTCGATGTCGCCACAGCCCGAGTAGATTATCTTGCCGTCGCGCACCACGTAGCCGCTGCGGTGCTCGGTGCCAGCAAAGTCGAGCCCCGTCAGCCATACGACCACGTAGGGGCCGACAATGGCGTGGCCCCAGTACCAGCTGTGGACTTTTTCGCGGAGGGGTCTGACGCCCCAGTTCTGGAGTGGGAGAGGGTGTTAGTGATACGGGCGGTTGGGTCGGGTTGCTTTGCTGGCTTTGTAGCTTACCTTGTCGTGGTATCCCAGGCCCTCAAACTGCAGCCGGGTGCCGTTGATGGCGACGTCAATGGAGGCTCAGGCTGCGGGCACGGCGTGGGTCCAGCCCACGCCGCTCACGACCTCCATCGTCTCGTTGGCGTGGACGGGGGAGCAGGGGTAGTGCGGAGGCGCGATCTGTATTTGACCGGGGATGAGTGTCAGCACTCCAAGGGCCTTTGGAAGGGGCATGGAGATAATGTGCATACCAAGCGGAAAGAGATAGTCCCCTTGTACACGTCGTTGTGAGGCCGATGACGTACTCTGACGCGTCCGACCTCGCGGCCCAGGTGGTGTTGCCGGGGCCAAGGTAGGCGCGGCTGGAGGCCTGGCCGGCCGACACGACAGCGGCGCCTCCGGCCACGGGGAACCACGTGTCGAAGAGGGTGTCGTTGGGGAAGGTGCCCGAGATCTGAACGGCCACGGAGGACCCCAGGTCGGTCGGGCCCAGGAAGCCCAGGGGCCCCTTGTTGTAAAAGACGACAGCACCGGAGCTGGCCGCGCCCTCCCCCATGGCGTCAAAGTACCACCAGTCGTAGGCCGTGGCGTTGGCGTCGTGCACCTTGACGCCGTCGAGGCCCTTGGCGCTGGAGACGAAGGTGGTGCTGGACGAGCCGTTGTGCAGGCGCGGGGGCAGGATGTCGACCGTGGGGAGAGGCGCGGGCGGGAAGAGCTTTGTGTTCGCGAGCGCCGAGTGTGCCATGATGGCGAGGGGGAGGAGAAGAAACGGCATCATGGGTGGAGGGTGAATGACGGGTCAGTTGCGGTAGCAAAGTGCAGCATGTTTGAGGTTGCAGAGACGATTTGGTGATTTCATTATTGAAGATTCGCTGCCGATATACTGTCCTGTCCGGCCTTCCTCCACGGCCTCTCCGGAATCCCGACGGCCAGAGTACGCGCGGCATGGTGATGCTGACGATGAGTTGTTGTTGGAGTTTTGCGACTGTTTTCCGTTTCAGGCAATTGATCACTTACACCAGCCATCCGCCTGTGGCTGCGCAGCCACAATTCGTTCCTCCTTTACCCACGTCGGCAGGCACGACCTGGGCAGAATCGACACATCTTTACCTCGTTTCTGACGGTAATCCATGTACGCCGACGAATGTGAGTTCCTACACCTCGCGCCATCAACAGCCACGAGTCTTGCGAGGCTTGTCGTCCATCACCTGACAGTCACCTACCTCCTTGTTGGGCAGCATGTGGAAGCTCGCTAGTGAGCTGACACATGGTATCATTTGCATTGGCCATATTCCTCAGCCACATCAACCAGACTCGTTGCGCCATCAAGCCCACTCACCAAGATTGCTTCACCATCTCCAACCTATCCTATCCCTTGAGCTCGGACGGAGATCTTGGCGTTATCTAGCAGGCCTGGACCTGGCCATTGCCCGCTAATAGAAGCACCTAGATCGAGATCGCCGCTTCAGCCGCTTGCGCTTCGACCACTAGCGCCGACGCCGGCCAAGCCACACCCGCCTCCAGATGATATCCGAAGCCCTGGTCCGGCAGCTGCGGCTGGGGAGGGTGATGCATCCGCGATGGCACCAAAGCGAAACCGCGGGCGGGCCAGCCAGGTCTCGCTAGGGCACAGGGCTGACCAGGAGGCGAATCTGCCTTGGATGGGCAGCAGGATAACAGTGGCCGAATGGGCCTATAAAGCCAGGACCGCTGCTCCGTGGTTCTAGAGCGATTGGTGCCTCCCAAGAATCCAACAAAGACGACGACCCAGAACTTCAATCCATCACAGCCTCCGTCACAATGCTTGGCCACATCTCTACCGCGATCCTGGGTCTTTCCCTAGCGACGGCACCGCTGGTTCTAGCCGCCGCTGGAGATGATGTCATCTTCCCGACCCCCGCCCCGATCCTGGAGGCCAGGGCGACGGCCGGCATCGGCGACTGCTACGCCCAGTCGTACGTTGGGCTCTCCCCTCTCCCGTCTGCCAGGAACACCACTGACCATTGCCTTGGGCCCTCGCAGACCCTACATGAACTGCGTCACGCCCCATACATCTCGGACGTGTGGAAAGCCCGGTGATGGGCCGTCGGCGACCTCGTGTGCGTGCCAGCAGGTGACGGCGCTGTGGAAGTCAGTACAATGTTCTTTTTCCTTCGGTTGTTTTTGCTTGGCGCCCAAACCATGGTCTCGATTAGAACCGCTGGGCTAACCAAAACACAACACCCACGACCACAGCTGCTACACGAGCGCCTGTCCATCGGACAGCCTTTACTCGACCTTTTACGCCGGCATCTCGGTCTGCAACGCGCAGGGCTTCGGCGGGGCGAGCCCCATCACGGTGGCAGGCGGTGGCGGCGGCGGCAACGGAGCCGCGGGCGCTACTGCGACGGCGGGCGGGGAGGGGGCAGCCAGCACCAACAAGAACGCCGGGGCCTCTGCCCGGCCCGGACTTGTCGGGGCGGTCGTTGCTTTCGGATTTGCGGCTTGGATGGCCTAGTCAGGATGGTGGAAGTGGGAAATGCGGTGGGCGGAATAAGGAAGAAATGCATAGCAGTTTGTGGCGTTTAATGGACCATCATATTGATTGCGGTCAGCACGCTGCCATCCTCGATTGGTGGCCTCAGCTCGCTTACGGCTGGGGAAATGCGTCGGAAAGGGGTCTCCCAGGATGTAGCTCTAGTGCAAAATGCGGGCTTGCCAAGACCAAAAGGCCTTTCAGCCGACCCAATTTCCCGGTATCCTGACCGTTTCTGCGTCGACAGGAACCGCCTTCCAAAAAAAGGCCATTTTGGATGCTTCTCCAGCCTTGGGCATCGCTTCGCTGAAGAAAAGGGCTAGTCGGCCTGGCCCGCCCTGCACCCAGAGACATTCCATTGCCGACCACCTTCTTCCGCTAGACTTGGCAAACATGCAGGATCCCCAGCGCCTGCTCGCGGGGGCGGTCGCCCTGCTGCGCCGCCTCGTCGTGACGAGGAAGCTCCCCATCGCCGCCGCCGTGCTGGTGCTGATGGTGATCACGGTCAATCACCTGACGGACAACGCCGTTGGCGACGCCGTCTGGCGCCCGACCCCCATCCCGGACGACCCTCCGGGCGCCTGGGATCACCACCCCGTCGTGCTGCTCCACCAGCAGGCCGAGATCCAGCACCAGGCCTTCCTCAACCGGCAGTCCAGGAATCCAGACGAGGCCGAGGAGGTCTACAGGCGCCGCTACGCCATGGACCCGCCGCCCGGCTACCGGCGCTGGGTCGAGTACGCGCTGGCCAGCGGGTCGCCCGTCATCGACGACTTTGACATGATAGCCGAGGGCGTCCACCCCTTCCTGAAGCACACCGCCGCCGACCTGAAAGCGCGAATCGAGGCCGTCAGGCACGACCCCCTCGCGAACCAGGTCGGCCTCTGCCGGTTCGAGGGCGGCAAATTCACGTCGGGCTGCCGCATGTGGGGTCCGCCCATGAACCTCATACTAGGCGGCGCGGGCCAGCACGTGCCCGACGTCGAGCTGCTCATCAACTTCCTGGACGAGCCGTCGCTGCTGCCGACGGCCGAGGCGGCGCGCCACAACGGCACCGCCGCCGCCGCGTCGCCCTGGGCCGACCTGGGCCGCCACTCCATCGCCGCGGCCGTCAACGAGAGCTGTGTCGCGCAGGGCCGCACGCCCCGCGCCGACGTGCCGCCGGGCGGCGACTACTTCGGCATCCCCTTCGTCGCCGACCCGGCCGGCGGCCGCGACCTGTGCGGCCACCCCGAGTTCGAGACGCAGCACGGCTTCGTGGCCTGCCCGACCACGCTCAAGCGCCTGGCCTCGTCGGTGCCCATCCTGTCGCAGTCGGCGCCGCACCCCTTCACCGACATCGTCTTCCCCAGCCACCTCTACGCGCGCGCGTCCAACCAGCCCGCAAAGTGGTCCGACCGCCTCTGGGGGTCCAAGCGCAACGCCGCCTACTGGGCCGGGTCCACGACGGGCGGCGAGTGGTCGTCGGCCACGTGGCGCAGCGGCCTGCGCCAGCGGCTCGTCATGCTCGCCACGGGCAAGGCCGAGGGGGGCGGCGGCGATGGGAACCAGGCCACGACGGTCCTCCGCCACGACGCGGCGTCCAACACGGTTGTGCCGCAGCAGGGCGCGCCCGTCGACACGTCCATGTTCGAGGTGCGCCTCACAAACATGATCAACTGCGACGCCGAGCCGGCCGCGTGCGACGAGCAGCGCCGCTTCTTCGGCGTCCCCGGGGACCGCCACCCGGGCTCGCGGGCGCTGCGGTACCAGCTCGCCCTAGACCTAGACGGCAACAGCTTCAGCATGCGCTTCTACCGGTTCCTGGCCTCGCGCAGCTGCCCGCTCAAGGTGACCGTGTTCCGCGAGTGGCACGACGAGCGCCTGCGGCCGTGGCTGCACTACATACCCGTCAGCGTCGGCATGAGGGAGCTGCCCGAGCTGGTGCGGTTCCTGACGAGGACGGCCGCGGGCCAGCGCGTCGCCCGCCGCGTCGCCGAGGCCGGCAGGGAGTGGTACCCCAAGGCCGTCTCGCCGCCGCACCAGGGCATCTACCTGTACCGGCTGATGCTGGAGATGGCGAGGCTGCAGGACGACGGGCGCAAGGCGGCGTGATGGGGGAGGAAAAGAGAGGGTGGGTTGCACAGCATTTCACGAGTTTATAGAGCTGCAATAATTCATGTCGGATACGATTGATATTAAGTTTCTGAAGGAGGCCGGCTACGGTTGGGAATAGTAGTATCGCACGTCGGCGAGCTGATCATTGCCGGGGCAGATGTTCCTCAGCGCGTCATTGCGTCACCACATGCAGTCTCTCGCCACCAAGAGCTATGGGTGTTGCAGTCTTCCACCACCAGCCACCAGTACAGGTCATGGGGCACCGGCAGGTCCTTCCACCGGATGAGCTCATGCGTCACCCTCAAGCCGACGTGGTAATTGGAAAGCGACGCGAGGAAGTCCGGGCCCGGCTCTAGCTCAACACTCCGGACGCGCGGGCGGAACGAGCGGTACAGCTGGTAGGCGTGGAGGCCCAGCTCGACCTCGCGGCCGGCCCAGCTCTCGAGCGCGGCCAGCATGTAGTTGACGATGACGCCGCCGTCCTGGTCGCCGTGCCTGTCGACCCAGTTCGTGAGGTAGGGGTTGTAGACGTGCCAGGCCGCGCCGCCGTGGTGGGCGACGAGCACGCGGAAGCCCATGACCCTGGTCTCGTCGACGGGCATGTACGCGCCGGCCGGCTGCGGGTCGGCGGGCACGAGCCGCGCCTCGGTCTCGGGGTCCCAGCGCGCGGGCCGGTCCATGACCTCGTCCTCGCCCGCGGGCCTGGCGGCCACAAAGTGCTGCACCACCTGCGCGCCCGCCGACAGGCAGGCGTCCCAGCGCAGGTCCTTGTGCTGGAACTGCGTCACCGACGCCGCCCAGAGCCACAGCAGCACGCACTGGGGGACGCTGACCCGCACCTCGGTGTTGGGCTGGCGGATGAACGGGGCGAGGGCCATGCCGGACGCGTACTCCGGGCGCTTGAACCAGGAGGTGGTGATGCCGGGCACGGAGAAGCTTCCGTTGAAGTGCGGCCGTGCGACCCATGCGAAACCACGCTCCTGCTCGTCCAGCTCGAAGTGGGAGCGCTGCTGCGGCTCGCCCAGCTTAGAGTAGCGCTGCTGCTTCCTGAGCTGCTCGACAGGCGTATCAAGCGCCTCTGTTCCATCACACGCTCCAAGCTCTCGCCATATTTCCGCTCGTCGGCGTGGATGCGCCGCCTCTCATAGTCGGCGGCATCTTCTTCTTCCTCCTCAGCGCTGGGAGTCCAACCAATCATCCACAGGCCATGTTCCGTGTAGTGCGTGCCCGCCATGTTGTTTGTTGCTTCCTTTCTGTTTCGCGGTGGCGTATGCTGTGTAGAGAACTTTCTTCCGGCAGTGAGGTGAGGTTGAAGTGGGTTTGGGTCCGGGGGATTTGAACAGGACCGACTTGCTTGCAGTTTTGGGTTTTATAGGAAGCTGGTAGTGTATGAGGAATGTGGCGCTATGGAAGCACTGTCACCGATAAGAAGGTTCTGGACATGATTAGCTGCGCGTTTGTCCCTAGCAAACGCTGAAAGAAGCAGCGCTCCTGTTACCGCAACAGAAAGCCGTCCAAACCACAATAACTTCAGTCAAAGAGCAACAAACAAGATCACACGAATCGCAAACAAAGGCACAAGCGCTTGGCCTACTCGCTGGCATGCGGGGCCGGAGGCTGAAGACGCAATAGTTGAGACACCCGCCCGCAAACACCGGAAGATGACCCCCCATTTTAGCTCGTGCTGTTCCGGAATTTTGACAACATATCGAACGAGGCGAGGCCCTTGGACCCGTCGCCAACACATAAGGGGGTTTATTTCATCGGGTAATACTGGAAATATTAGTGAAGCTATTGCACGATAGCACCACGCATGGCAGAGCAGCTGCAAACGATGTCGACATGGAAACTATCAAGACTAAATCACGTCCGTACGCAATACCGGATACTGCGAGCTTGTGGATGGCAGTGCTATTTAAGTGCTGTCTTCGCAGTCAGCAAGGCTCCACGGCTTGTGTGCCCTAAAGACCTCCTACGAGCTGAAGGTGAACGGTGTGCGCGGCATATATGTATTAATTATAAGAGGTTGCATAACATTGCACGGTTTATCAACTTCTGGTTATGGTATTCGGATGTAATTGGTATTGAACTTTTCTCCAAAAAGGGCTCTGTCTGGCCATAATATCATATTTAACTCATGGCTTCCAAAGCAAGCCCACGTTCCTCGGCGCCCCGTTTCGACAACCGCCAGTCACTTACTAGTCGTCCTAGGGCGCCACCTGGCCCCCAAAAGGGAAGATTGGGCAAAAGGCGTGGTACAGTTCGTAAGCGTGATGGCCCATCTCCCGCTCGCGGCCTCCCCGGCTCTCCAGCGCCGCAAGCATATGGTTAACGACGACCGCGCCTCTCATCCCGGACTCCACCTCGACCCAATAGCGCAGATCGGGAATGTTGTCCCAAGGCGCCGGGCCAGAGCTGTCGGGTGTCCAGGCCGGAGTGATCGGGTGGGGGATGGTGACGTCGAAGCCTATGAACTTTGTCGTGAAGTATGGCGCCGAGGTGAATGTGGGCTCAAGGCTGCGTAGCATCCGCCCACGGCTCGTAGCAGCCGCCAAGTCTGTCCAGGACCTACCTGTGCGCCCGCCGACAGGCAGGCGTCCCATCGCAGTTCCTTGTGCTGGAACTGCATCACCGACGACGCCCAGGCCGGAGCACGACGTCGTGCTCCATCTTGAGATGGATGTCGACTCCACAGAACTGGGACGGCACGAGTGTCGCGCCAGGCATGTACTCTGCGCGCTTGTGCTAGGACGTGGCCTCGCCATCGACCTCCATCGCCTCGACGAAGGTATACCTTTTTCTCCACGCATCATAGAATCTATCGCCGTAGGTCCCACTTGGAGTAGTTTTCCCACGGGTCCTCATGGTGCTCCTTTGCCTCGGATCTGTCGCCGTAGGCCTGCTTGGAGTGGCATCCGCACCTGCATTCCCGCTCACAGTAGTATTGGCAGATGCATTCCCGCTCCGACTTGTCATCCCACATATCTTCGGAGCTTTCGGACTCCTCCGGCTCGGTTACGAGGAACTCCTCCAGCAGTTCAGCCAGCTCTTGAACCAGCTGTCGGCTCGGCTTTTGCCCCTGCTCTAGTTGCCGCTCCAGCTCTTGCACCACCACATATAACCCACCAGGCTCCAGGTCTGAGTCCAGATCTTGATCTTGGTCTCGATCCATCTGACCGTGGATGGTGTCCTTCTCCGGCAGATCATTCAGCTCCGTATCCAGGTCCTGATCTAGGTACCCATTAAGCACCTCATCCAGCCCCGCATTGATCTCGTTGTCCAGATTTCGATGGGGCTTTCGGTCCGGAGCTTGATGGGGCTTTCGGGCATGGTAGGGCTTTCGGGCTGTCTCGAATTGTAGGAAAATCATGGCTGCTGCTGTGGTGTATCTTGCGATTGAGGTTATGTCCAAGAGGTCGCGATTGGGTTGAGGTCCAAGGGGGCGTGATTGATGTGGTGTCCAACTGTGCTCTCTGTCTTGGACATTTGCACAAGTTTAGTTTGTCTGCTTACAGTCCTTGGCTTTATATGAAAACGGCGGTGGACGGGGCAAGGGAGAAGATAAGGAATACAATGAAAAATGAAGACGACACTCTCTGTCAGGTACACCCAGACGCCTTGTATTCGCAGCGCTGAAAGGAGCACCGAGAGTGTTGCCCTCGGTCTGTCACGCAGTCTTGGCACCACGAACAAAGGGCCCCTCGAACCAGAAGGAGCGCGCTCGAAGGACAACAAAGCCTTCTGTACGCCGTTGGCGATCCCATCAGCCCGTGGCCGCCGAATCGCGATCCGGCCGTTGCCACAAAGGAGGTGGGCCATGGCCAAGGCCGGGGGCCAAAGGGAGGTGAGCGCAAGGAGTGAGAGCTCCCGAGGCTGGCTACAACCATAGTCCGCGGATCCCATGTGAATCGATGGTACAAGGCAAAATTTGGTTTCCTCAGATGATAAAAAGGGTATTCACACATATCCGCCGATATTTCCACGTCATACTGCACAAAGAAAAAAAATCGCGTCAATGAAACTCCCATCCACCCTTGTCGTTGCAGTTTGCAGCCCCCAGCACCCTCCGCATCCTATACGCCTCTCAGAAAATGGAGTTGTCCGCACACGTAAACGGGGCATTGATGTTGTTCTCGGGGTTGTCAAACACCTCCTGCAGGCCCATGGCGGCCGACCACAGCCCCACCGAGTTCATGAAGAGCGTCATGACGATGATGAGCGCGTTGACGACGGTGAGCGAGATCCTGCGCCAGCCCGTGGCCATGTCCCTGCCCCAGAAGAGGTTGAACCACAGCACGGCCGCGAAGCCAAAGGTGAACCAGGCGATGAAGGTGGCGGACGCGATAGACAGGATCGAGTCGAAGATGGGGATGGCGTTGGCCAGCACGTAGGCCAGCACCCAGAACACGACGGCGCAGCCGACCCAGACGGCCCAGCTGCGCGCCGTGCGGGCCGTCAGCTCGCCCGTGGCGCCCAGGCGCTTCATGGCCACGACGTACATGTACTTGATGCCCGTGTGGCCAAAGACGCAGCCCGACGCGAAGACGCAGGGGAGCGCGACGGCGTAGGCCACCTTTGCGGGCACGACGGGCGCGGAGCCGAGCGAGGGGCTGGTGACGTGCTCGCCGGCCAGGCCGTAGATGGTGACGCCGGCGACGATGTAGAGCGGGATGGTGAAGACCTGCAGGGCCCAGGCGGCAAACATAAAGTCCCTGGACGGGTCCTTCATCTCGGCCATGTAGCTGACGAAGCCGACGTTGCCGGCGTAGGCAAAGGCCAAGTTGAGGCAGGCGTTCATGCCGTCGCGGAAGTTGGGGAAGCCGACGGGGAACATGACGACGTCGACGCGCGACCACTCGGGCGGCGCGTTCTGCGGGTGCCCCACGCCGAGGCTGATGATGACGATGAAGACGGCGGCCACGATGGAGATGGTGGACGGGATGCCGATGCGGGCCACGAACTGGAAGTTGCGCGGCAGCACAGCAGGAAGCAGACGAGGGCCGAGATGCCGATAAAGCCGGCCGTGCACATGGCGTGCTCGGTGATGGTGTTGAATGCCACCGACAGCGTCACCGACATGGAGCCGCACGTTAGGATCAGGTCCAGGACCAGGCTGACGCCCATGACGATCTCGAGCGGGCGCCCGCCGACAATGTAGGCCATGTCGACGAGGTTGACGACGTGCGGGTGCCGGCGGTAGAACTGCAGCAGCTCGTAGGCCGTGTAGGTCGAGAGCATGCCGATGCCGATGATGGCGATGGTGGCCGGCACGATGCCCAGCACGCGCACCACGGCCGGCAGCGCCAGGATGCCGGGCCCGATCTGGTTGGTGATGAGCACGAGCGTGGCATCCCACTTGCCCATGGTGCGGTAGTCGCGCCCGCCCTCGCTGAAGATGTTGCCGCTCGTCACCGGCGCCGTGGTGCCGCCGGGCCCGTCTAGGATACCCTCCTTGCCCCTGTGCCCGGAGGCGTCGTACATCTCGCCGGCCGGGGCCACGCCGTCGTCGGCCCAGTGGTTGGTTTCCGACCCCGAGTTCTCGCCGTCGACGGTCCGCTCCATGGACGACTTCTCACCCTTGGCGTCCGCGGTGCCGTCTGCGGCCACGCCGCGCTGCGCGTTCCACCTGGAGTCGGCCATTACTGTCCTGCTCGGCGTGATGCCAGCACAGAGGGAGAGAACAAGTTAAGCCGCTGAGTGGGAGAAGTGCTCAGGAGAAGTACTCGAGTGCAGTGGCCCAGGTGACGAGAGGATAGTCCGAACAAGAGTTCCCCAAGGCGAGACTGCCAGCAGAGGAGTGACGGGTGAGAGCAGACAGATCTCGACGTCGCGCTCGGCGTCTCCAGTGACAGCTCCGGGAGATTCTCACTTAATATACCCATTTTGTTATCTTTCTTCTGGCATCGAAAACTTCTGGAAGTCGCCATGCTCGCCGATCTTTGGGTAGTCATGCGAGAAAACCGGAGTCCACAAGGCTTTGCCAACGTCATGATTCCCCCTCGCCGCGTCTACAGGTCAGCGTCCCCGCCCTGACCCTCGCCGCGCCGCCCCAGTGATCTTGCCGAGTAAGCATATTGACACGCGGCATGCTTGGAAAGACCACGCGACCTGTATAGCTTCCCCGCAAAAATCGCGTGTCCTATTATTCCCCTGTGCCATGCCGCCATGAGTCCTGGCGACCCCCAAGACCCAAAGGCATGCCCGATGAAGCAGGCCTCTATCACGCTGCCAAGAGTGGCCGTCATCCGTCGCCCTTGGCGCGTGGTGGAGACTCTCGGCCCGCTCGGCAATCGTCATGCGGCTCGGCGACGGCGACGCTGCACCACGGCCAAGGTCTCCGGCACTTGGCAAAGTTCCGACAGACCCGTTCTTGGCCGCTTGGGAGAAGACCAACGTAGGTTGCCCGCCCGCCCAGCCGCAAAATCCCGCAGCGGTGTGAGCAATGAGATTGGCGATAGCACTTGCACGAGTAATTGCCAGAGTTCAGTGTAGTGTTCAGCGTAGTGCTCAAGGCCGACAGGAAGCGCTGCCCAGCGCCAGCCCGACGACAAAAGCGACTCTCGGTCAAGTCCTCGATCTGGTCGCTTGTTGCTAGATCATAACAACCCCGCACTGCAAGCTGCACGCGCTTCAGCTTCCGCTGGCTGGGCTCTCAACGCAATTCGGATGGATGGCCATGGGTTCCCAGAGGGTAATTTAGCGGCAGCTCGGCAGTCTGTTGCGGCGGCTGTTCGTGAAGCTGTTGATGAGGATGCCACTGCTGCCCATGATGCTGGCCATGAGCATGATGACTATGTTGAAGGTTGGTAGGAGCCCCCTGAGCCCCGGTCGTCAGGAGCTGCCCCTGGGCTTGCTTTTGCTGGCTTCCGACGTACGCCGTGTCCACGTACTGGTGTTGCTGGAGGTGGTTCTGGCCCGTTGATATGGTATCCCCGGGATTGGCGGCGGATGTATGGCTGACATGCCCCCCCGAAACCTGCTCGATCTGATGCGGAGGCGGCTGATATCCACTCTTGGCCCTGCGCGACCTTTGCATGATGAGGCAGATGGCAAATACAACCAGCCCGACCAAGGCTACTCCTCCGACTGCGCCACCCACAATCGCAGCGACCGGTGTTGGGGACGACTCGCCGCTTCCCCCGCCTCCCCCACCTCCTCCGCCGCTGGTGCCAGCGCCTGCGCCACCGGCAGCCGAGGTTGTCGTAGATATTGTGCTCGTTGTGGTACTCTGCGTGATGCTCGACGAGGACGATCGCGGACTGCTCGTGAGCAGGGCCGGCGGGGTGGCCAGCAGACTCTCGACGCCGGCTGAGCTCTGACACTGCAGGATGGAGAAGAGGCGACCCGGGGTGGCCGTGGTGGAAAAGATGAGGGTGTAGCAGGCCGGGCTGGACTCCCAGCAGCAAATGGTTCGCGGGCCCCTGCTAGCGCACGCGCCGCGCTGTGAGGCCGAGAAGTCGAGGCATGCGGAGAACATGGTGGAGGTGCAGTCGGTGTACTCGCCCGTGCAGCAGTCGATGTTGCCGACTCCGTCGTTGGTGCAGTATCCTGAGCCCTTGACGCAGGTCACGGCGAGGGCTGCAAAGGCTTGATGGTTAGAACACGGTGCCCGGGAGGTGGTCTCGTGACAGGCATAACAAGGACAAAGAAGACATGGCCGCACATGGGTATCCCGAGATGAAGCCGCAGGTGTCGGTGCCCATCGAGTAGGGCTGCTGCCGCTTGAAGAGCTCCATCTGAGCAAGCGCCGGTTTCGGGGCATCGGTCGGCCGTGGGCTCCATCCCACCCTGGCATCCGGGTTGTCCTCCCCTGGTGCTGTTCCTGGTGACGCCGTCTGTCGCGCCGGCCTCCAAGATGCCTCTTGCGCCGCACGCAAAGGAGAAAATGCTGCGACTTGCATAACGAGAACAGAAAAGAGTGGCAGTCGCGTCAACGGCGGTGAATCAGCGCGGCTCCACGCCATTGTGATGGTCGCGATCCCTGTCCACGAGGCAGGCAAACTCGCGGGCAAAACTAGGAGCAAGCAAGCGATGATAACGGCGATTCAAACCACAGCAGATGAGATGGTAGGGAGCGGATTGAAGCGTCATTGCATTGAAGCGAGTCACAAGATAATTCTCAGAGCTGAACAGCTAAGCCAACCAAATGGCCGGGGCTGAAGGACGCCGAGCATGACCCCCGACCAGTGGCGTCCAGGATACGCTCTGCCAGGCATGACGAGGAGCTAGCGGCCTGCGGGATACCGTTCAGCTCGCTCATGCAAGATTTCGGGGTCGTTTGCGGCGCCCGAGTGGCAGCCAGCTGGACTGAAGACGCGGGAGGTCGCCATCCTGGCGGCAATCTGGAGCGACGGGCTAGAAGACTAGAGATGGCGCATGCGACGTCACCACGCGCAACGTCGGTTCTTTCCTAGTCGCCGCAACATTTGCGGCAGCAAATGTCGAGTGCGGAGAAAATTAAAGCACAACTTGAACAGGGAGACAGACCAGCCAAGCCAGCGTTTGGCGAGAGTGCGAGATTCTCCGGAGAGCTGTGGGCCAGTTCAGATTACCTCAGCATCCAAGCTTTCCAACAGCGGGCACCCCACAATTAGTGCAAAAAAGGAGGACAAGCCAGCCAAAAAATCACATTTCTTTCCTGCGGTTGCTCAGTTTCAACACTGAAACAAGCCACGAACAGCTCGAGCGCTATCAAAAAGCTTGGACAAACGGGGAATCGAACCCCGGACCTCTTCCATGCTAAGGAAGCGTTATACCACTAAACCATTCGCCCTGTAATTGGCTGGACGAAACAGGCCGTTCGTGGTTTTTCAGGTGGGGAGAGCAGAAGGGATAACAGATAGGTGCATACTCAGGGGCAGGGCTGTGCGCTGTGGGGGTCGTGGCTCATGCTGCCCCACAGGCGATAAGGCGCGCACATCCAGTCCAGCGGGCTGTGGGAGCGGGGTGGGAACATGCATAATAAGCCACTTCCTTCTACTTCCAACCGGCTTCCATATCCCATCAGCGCCAAACAGTAAAGGCGACCACTGCGCAATTCCCATCCAGGAAAATGAAGCCGATTTTGTGTTGTGCCGTTTGCTCCCTCGCCCGAAGCTCCTGGAAATGACTGGACTGGGCCTGCTTAACACCGCCCAGCATCCCTCATGAGGGAGACAAAGCCAAAGATACAACCCAAGATGGAATACAATCGAATGGCCTCACGGCAACCGCGTGCCGTGTAAGCATCGCCGAGTCTCCCACAGATCCTCCCAAGCAAAGGCGATGGGCCTTTGCCATGGCAGATGTGTAAAAGCTTTGTGGCGCCGCGAACTGCTGAAATGACGGTGATCCACTGTCGCGAAATTGTCAATGCAAGCGCTCGATGAGGGGAGAGTCGGCAGAGGGGTCCCCCTCCGCCGTCGAATAAAAGGGGCCTTGCTTTCGCCACCATCTCAACCGTAAAGAAGCATCGACATCCCAACTCCCACGATCCCTACATCACAACAACGAACAGCCCACACACACAGGAACCGTCACAATGCTCGCCAACGTCCTCAAGTTCCTCCTGGTCGCCGCCGCGGCGTCGCGGTCCATGGCCGGCCCCTTGGAGCCGCGCGGCGTCATCGACCACGACGCCATCGTTGGCTTCCCCGAGACCGTCCCTGACGGACCCATCGGCGCCAACCTGCTCCGCTTCAAGCCCAGGCTCAAGGTCTTCTCGGGCTGCGTGCCCTTCCCCGTCGTCGACGCTCGCGGCAACACTGGGTAGGTGGTCCCCCCCCCCCCCTTCTCGCCCGCTCCGTCCCGCACCCATCACTTACATTCCCCCCTCTTGCTAACATCTCCTTCTGCAGCGGCGGCCTCAAACCCACAGGCGGCTCCTCGAGCGGCTGCTCCAAGAACCTCGGCCAGGTGTACGCGCGCGCGGCCGAGTACAACGGCCGCTGGGCGCTCATGTACAGCTGGTACATGCCCAAGGACTCGCCGTCCCCGGGGCTGGGCCACCGCCACGACTGGGAGAACTGCGTGGTCTGGGTCGACGACGCCACCAGGGCAGACCCCAATATCGTCGCCATGTCGGCCTCGGGCCACGGCGGCTACCAGCGCACGTCGGGCCCCTTCGCCGTCGACGGCACCCGGCCCACGATCCGCTACTTCAGCACCTGGCCCCTCAACCACCAGCTCGGCTTCACCGACGTCATAGGCGGCGAGCAGCCCCTCATCGCGTGGGAGAGCCTCACCGACGCCGCCAGGGAGGCCCTGTCCACCACCGACTTTGGCGCCGCCGGTGTGCCCTTCAAGGACGACAACTTCACGAACAACCTGGCCAAGGCATGAGGAGCTGGTCCAGGCGCGATGACGAATATGTTATGACATTATTAGTGCATTTTGTTTATCTCAATATTAATTCCATGCAGCATGGCTTCTATCGACCATGTCTTCCTCGCTGTCGAGTGGGATCTCTTTGTACAAGCCTCACCTGTGTCACCAGAGTGCAAACTACAAGGATACCGTAACACTGGTTTTTTTTTACGTTTTAACTCGTTCCTCGGACAACGAAAAGCAGTGAAGGCGTCAGCGAAGCCCGAGGGTGTAGCTGTTCTTTCCATCTCGCAATATTTGACTGCCTCAGGCATACAGACCCCGCCTCCTGCAAGCACCCCTGCAAGCACCGACCTGCGCGCCAAAACACCAAGTCAAATCTCGCGATAGCTAGCGATGCAATCAATTAAACCAATTAAATCAATCGCTTTAATCGCTTTAATCGCTTTAATCGCTTTAATCGCTTTAATCGCTTCAATCGCTTCAATCGCTTCGATCAGGCAAATCCGATTACGACTTTTTATATATAACCCTCCACCTACCTACCTCCCCTCGCTTCGCTCCGTCCGGTAGGCGGTGTCGGCTGGGTTTTGGTGCACGTCGAGTTTCGCTGAACAAACTCCTCCTACTCTTGACCTCTCGCTATCCTAATGACGGTTAGTCTAACCTGGCAGAAGACTGCTTGCGATGTCATGACCTCCACGCTCCCGCTGGCGGCGGCCTCACTATCTGTTCGAGGTGAGTATGTGACGACATCGCCCCAAGTCGTCAGGATAGCACCCGACGCCGGCATGCGGTGGCCTCTGGCCGCCGACCCCTGCCGTCGACGACTTTCCTGCAAGATTCCGGGCCCAATGCGCAGACTTCACCCGCAAGGAGTTTTGGTACTTTAGTTCTCGCTCAGCCTGTCCGGGGATCCTCTCCCTCCCTCCAGAGCGCGCTGCCTCTTGCCCTCTCGCCCATGGACGCCGTCCTTCTGCAAGCAGGTTGCATTTCCCAAGCCGGCCGCTGCGGCCGCTGCCTCGTGCGTGACTCCGAACGGCGCCGTCGACATGCTGGCCTCTGACGCCGTCCTAAAGGAGGCACCCAAGCCGGGGGGCGGCGACTCAAAGTCCTCAAACCTGCGCTTCATGGTCCGGCCCCGTCTGTCCTCCTCGTCGGAGGACACCGCGTCGTCCCCATATAGTAAGCGCCTCTCCTCTTTGTACAGGTCTGCGGCAGTCAGGGGTCGCGCTCCCCTAGCTGGTCTCGGATCCACCTCATCCTCATCGCTAGACGTGTCCTCGTCGTCGCCGCTGGAAACGCCCTCCCCGGGCGCCTCGTCACGTGGTCGCTTTCTAGGGCTTTTACTCCCGGTGGTGGTGTAGGTCGGAAATACCCTCATTTTCGCGTGGATGGCGTGCCCTGGTAGACTGTCCTCCTCTAGCTCCATCGTGTCTCTGTTGTAAAGCAGTACGTTGTAGAGTGACATGCCACTAAAAAATGGATATAATTCGTCTGTGAACAGCGACCAGGCAAAGCGCGCGAACAGGAACTCGGGCGCGAGGCCACGAACCGGCTGCAGCTGTCTGTTGTGGTACAAGTGCACGAGCTCGCTGGAGAGACCGGGCCGCAGCACGTGCAGGACGAGGGTAACAGCCGAACCCGAACCTGTTGGAGAGGAGGCTGAGGTGGGGTTGACGCCAAACTTGGCGGTAAAGGTGAAGCGTCTTGCGTCGAAAATGGAATGAAGGTCGGACCGGAGAAGGAGGATGTTTTTGTCATCCATGACATGGTGAACAACGCTTGGGTTTCGGCAGTACCTGGACATGCGGTTGGCCTGGAACCAATATCCATCTGCGATCGGTATGATGTGCGCTGCCTCGCGGGAATTTTCGTGCCCAGAGATGCGGCATGTCACATCACGACAGCGGACCACGTCCGCAGGGCCCACACCGGCAACTCCCGCAAAGGGCGCTATCTGGAGGCTGTCCCACGGCGACGGGAGCGTGGGCGAGAATCGCCAGTGGTCGAAGGACGGAACAACAGGATACTTGTCTGGTTAAAACACAGGGGTTAGGAACGTCGGGAAATTGTGGTTCGGAAAAGTAAAAAGAAGCAGAAGGGGGAGCAAAGGGGAAGCAGAAGGAATCCAAGGGGGAGCAAAAGAGGAAGCAGGATAAAACATTTGCGATCGACCCCACTGCATGGCCTCAACCACTACCATCCCAAATTGAAAAGCAGATCCGTTTAATTATTTGCGGCATCGAGAAAACAGTGCAAGAACCTACTCGAACTCGGGTCATTGTCTCCAATGCAGAAGTAGTACGTTGGCGCGCGCAAAAGATTATTCGGGGGACGAGGTACGGTCTGAAACGTGCCGTCGCTTTTTACGGCCAGCCTGCCAGAAGCGAAGGCGTTGTTCGCAATGATGCCACACGCCACGAGTGCCGTGTCGTAATCGAGGCCGCTGTTTCCATCTTCATCCTCGTCCCAAGCGCCAAGTTGCAACAGCGGAGGGGCGGCATTTGGGTAGGCGGGGTGGCGAAACACGACGACCGTTGCACGAAAGTCGATTTCCGGTGGCGCTCCATCGCCGGGTGGCCGGAATGCAGGCTTCGTCTTCATTGCGAGGACTGCGTGGCAGGCTGCTGGATGCGTGAGTAGAGGATGCACGATGCGCCACGAGGTAGGAGCCAGGAAATGTTGAAGCACGCGACGCTGTCACGTGACCTGGGAATCGTGGAACGCACAGTCCCGAGGGGGTTTATTTACCGGAAGCAAGTTGCACTTTAACAAAGGATAAAAAATGATGAAGAAAATTTATTTATTTATTTATTTATTTATTTATTTATTTATTTATTTATTTATTTATTTATTTATTTATTTATTTATTTATTTATTTATTTATTTATTTATTTATTTATTTATTTATTTATTTATTTATTTATTTATTTATTTATTTATTTATTTATTTATTTATTTATTTATTTATTTATTTATTTATTTATTTATTTATTTATTTATTTATTTATTTATTTATTTATTTATTTATTTATTTATTTATTTATTTATTTATT